GTGTTTGACACACTTTAAGTATTAACACTTAGTTATCCTGCTCTCAGTAGATTTCGGCTGTTGCTCCATTTCACCTTTCTCAATTTGCCGCCTACCCTCTCTTTCCCAATACCATGAGACCATACTGAAATTTTTCTTCTTAAAACATGAGCATGTTGCAACTGCATTTTGTGCAGTGTTCCAGCCTGGAGCATTAAAAATGAAAGCAGTTTTTTTTTTTTAACCCTGTGTAACTATCTTCTTGTTCCTTCCAGTGGTTCTGATTGGAGAGTCAGGAGTGGGCAAGAGCAACCTGCTGTCACGGTTTACCAAGAATGAATTCAACCATGATAGTCGCACCACCATCGGGGTGGAGTTCAGCACGCGCACGGTGCAGCTGGACTCCATCACCATCAAGGCTCAGATCTGGGACACGGCCGGCTTGGAGCGTTACAGGGCCATCACCTCCGCGTGGGTCCCCTGCCCCCTCACCCCCTCCCAGAGGATTTCCCATAATGCTTTTCCAGTGTTGCAGGTTTAATAAAACACATTGTAGAAAAAAGACAATTATCACGAAATTTCTGGATGTTAAGAAATTCTAAATGACTTTTGACATTTTGAAACATGGGTATGAAGAAATGCTTCTACTTCTTAAATTAAATTTTGCCATTTTACATGAAAAATGTTTCGTTCTCTGTTTTAAATGTAAACATCTGACATACACTGCTATGATTTCAGAATGTTAATTTTATCATTTAGGGTGACGGTACTGAATCAGGCTATTTCAGGAACACTAAAATTCCCCCCCCCCCCCACACACACACACATACACCCACACATACACACAGTAATGGAGAATCTGTGGACTCCTTCCTCTCCTCCACAGGTACTACAGAGGGGCAGTGGGGGCTCTACTGGTGTACGATATCTCCAAGCACCTGACATATGAGAGTGTGGAGCGCTGGCTGAAGGAACTCTTCGACCATGCTGACCCCCACATCGTGGTCATGCTGGTGGGAAACAAGACTGATCTGGAGTCAGTGAGGACGGTCCCCACTGAGGAGGCCAAGGATTTTGCAGGTGTCTGACTCGGATGTTCTTAGTGTCAGGTGTTGCCTAGACCTGTATATCTCTGCCACATAAGCATTGTCAGAGGTTTTCCACTCCGCTGGGAGCTCCACCAAGCTGAGCAGCAGGTGAACTACATCACAAACCAAATCTAGTTGTACCATACAGGTATGGGGCAGTTCATGATAATGAACAGCCCAGTTGGCCAGTTTTCCAGTTATGGTTCATAATTATAATGGAATTGAATATTGTAACATGAGGATTTGAGTCAGGCTTTCAGGTTTGGATATCTGATGAGCTTAAATATTTTGTTAAATTAACCTAAGGATTATTTCTGACCTTCACTGCTAAAAAGCTTATTTTACAACTCCACTATTCTTTTTTTTATTGCCCATTTTAGCATGAATGTCCCATTTGTTTTGATGGAAACTAGTTGGGGACAAGTTTATGTTTGTTGCATTGTGTTCTTGGATCTCTACTGAGAGTAAAGTACGTATACCTCCCTTTCAAGATTATACCTGGCCCATTTACTTTCCATAATTAATCAATTACATTCAATTGCATAAATCAGTTTTTCCCAGTCAGGTCCTCTGGGAAAAATGTGAATTGTCTGGCATGGAGCTGAGAGGGAGCAAAAACATGGACCGTCTTGGGGTCCTTGAGGACCGGATTGGGAAACACTGTCATAAATCAATTAAACTGAATAGAGAAGTGGAGAATACTTCACAAATCTGCTTTTCCTCTAAACGCCTGGCATCTGCTGTGTGGATGCTTTGGCGAGCTTATTAAATCAAGAGCCAATTGTGAACAGGCAGCCAACAATGTTTGTCTCTCTCCAAATTCAGAAAAGAAGGGCTTATTGTTCATGGAGACATCAGCTTTGGAATCGACAAACGTTGAATCTGCTTTCATTGATGTACTTAAAGGTAATTTCCTCTCCTACAATTTACCGCCATTTTTTATAGGAAATTTGACTGTTTGCGCTGATTTTTTTATCTTGTACAAAACTGAAATCCTGTGAGTATGTATAAATTCTGTTTAATCATATTTTAGTTTGCTATTTTGTATAGTACTACACATGCTTTGCCAAGCTGAAGTGTAATGCTTCTCTATAGAACCATAGTGGTTAAATAGCAAACCACCATTATCTTTTTGGTAGATGTTAACCATTAATGGTTGCAGAATGCCAGTTAGACATATAAATATAATATATTTAAATTTGACCCTTATTAAGTAACCCACTGTAACAGCTTGTACATGCATGACGTATAGAATTGTAGTTTCTGAAGTCTTGAATTAGGTTTGAGATGCACTCCAAGGTTCCACAGTTCAAACACACCTGATTGTTTTCAGAACTCTGACAAAAAACAAACTGATAGTAGTTGTCATAGAAACAAGGAACCCCCCCCCAGAGGTTACAATGAAGCCATTATAGTGCAGTATCTAAAAAGTAAGGATATTGTGAACAGCTATTGAAGTGTGGAGAATAGTGAATGTTGCCAGCTGGTTTGATTTATTTACTGTTCTTGAAGGCATCTGTGGTTCATTTTTCTTCTCTGCATAAGAAGTATGTTGTAGTAATACATGAGCTGGTTTGTTTTTAAAGCAAGTGTAGTCTGGGCTGATGGGTTCTCAAAATGGCCATTTCACTGTTTCCCGCAGCGATCCACAAGAAGGTGGCTAGTAGAGAAGTGACTCGTGGGTCCATCAGCGCCGTGACCCTGTCCAACCCAAACGCCATGAGCGGAGAGCAGGAAGAGAAGAAGCCCTGCTGTAAGAACCTCTGACAGTGCAGCACGGCTGACCACACCCACAACAAGAGCACCTTTTCCTCCCAACACCCTTGGATACTGGTGTCTCATTCATAAGTTTTTCTTGCATCGGCTTGGTTCAGTCCTGTTACTGATGTCATACAGAGTTTAAAAAATGAGTGACGTCAACGGTTACGTTGTTTCAACGTAAAATCAGTCGAATATTGTAAGTGATAATATTCCCTTTAAATGCTTTGGCTGTCGAGGCCTGTCTCCAAGGGTGCAACTCCAGGAACGAGGGCCAAAAATATGAGGGCTAACAGAAAATTTGACATGACTTGAGAGTGGTTTGTATTTTGTTTTACTCCATTGTGGGCAGTAAGAGAACTGGCATTAGTTACCATTATTAGAGGATGGTGCATGTAGAGAATTTAAATGCACTACTAATGATTCAATTTGGCCTGGTGCTCACTGTAACTCGGCAGTTGTTCTCAGCTGTGGTAAAATTGAGAAGCCATCAATATCTTGTGTAAAACCATTACTTCAACAGAATTTTACCTTATTTTTTAACAGGGGCAATTTTACACTGTGCTTAAATGAAAACTACTTGAAACAAGTTACATTTGTATCAACTTTAACAACATAATTATATATGGAATTATTATGCTGGATTTTTTTTTTGCTCATATTATTGGATGTGTTTCCTGCAAAAGCAATATGAAGAAAGTAAGATTTTACATATGAGGAGTCTTTATTTGATGAGGATTTGAAAATCTTCTGCGCTTAACTGGCCTCTTACTAGTCTTGGCTATAAAATTAACAGCATGAATATTTACATTAATCCCTGGCTGAGCAGTATGACATCTGAAATTAAGTAAACTGCATGAGCAAGCAGTGTAGGATGTGCAGAAGTAAATTACGGAGAAGTAATTAAAATGTGTTATTTAATGTTTGGTTTGTGGAGGGTGGCGATCGGGGATTTGGTTATTTTAATACTGTTCAGAAAATATGTCCGAATTTGGTTTTCAAAAAACTGGCGTGCCACAGTACATCTACTACTACTACTATGTGAGACTGGGTGTTCACGAGTAATTATAGGTTTTTGATCACTGTGTTTTTTCGACATGTATTCATTGAATAAATGATACTTCTTGCTACGACTCGTTTCACGTTTTGTTTGGCTAATTATTTTAAAGCAATAAACGTTAATGTCTGTATACTTATTTCCTGAATTTTAATATAAATTCCCCTTTGATATTATCCATAATAAAAAAATCCTACTTGCTACATTACATCAGCCTTATATATTGCCTGCATATAACCTGTTTCATTTTGGGGTGTCCTCATTTCCATTGTGCGTTGTGTTGAACATTACCGGAACATTAATGTAGCCTAATAATTAAATGTCATTTACTTTTTCTTACCACTTCAACGCGTAAAGCTGTAGTTTCTTCAGTCATTCATTCAATAGATTTTACATATTTTCTGTTATGGAAACCTGCACCGGTCCTTACAGATGTGGTGCCATAGGCGAGTATCACTGCCGGCGCGTCCTGTTCGAGGCGGGCAAGTCGGCGTCCCCTCAAAAGTTGGCGCCCTATTCCGCCTCCAATGTCGCTTATGGGATTGACCTGCCCTGATGGACGCTTTATAGCCGGGGTGGTTCACCCATATTTTTCTATGAGGATATCCATCTTTTGTCTGTAGTGTTACATTTCAAAAAGCATGTCAATTGCTGTTTTCACATTCTTTGGTGTGACATTACAGATTTAAGATGGTCAGACAAAAGCCTACTGGACCGGTTATACAGTGCACTTCCTGTATTACAAATTTCATTCGCCTGCATTTAATTTCACTTTAGTAATGTCCGCATTTTTATTTAGAAATACAGCGCACAATATCCATCGTGATTGTTCATAAGATTTATTTTATATATTAAAACTAATTTATCTTCTTGTCAGTGTGCAGATTTAATTATCTAGTCAACAGTTAACAATACGTGGCATTTGAGTCGTGTTTGTTAATCTCCTTGCCACGGATGAGGTAACTCCGTGCACTGAAAGACCCAGAGAGCGTAACGTCATGGGGATCGGCTGAAAGTGGGTGGGACTCGGGGGTGGGACATGACCATAGTCGTTCAATAATTCCTCGCAATGCGAATGATTGACAGGTAATTTTATCCAATCACACGGCAGACATTCGGATGCCCTTGCTGTGTGTTACCCAATTGAGAAGGGAAGCTGGACGGGACAGCCGTTTAGGAGACAAAAAAAGAAATAAACTTTAATCTGTTGCTTTTAAAGTTTGTGTTCTTGAAATAAAAACAGCAGTTAGACTATTATCAATCCTACGTGTAGACTGCCCGTGTATGGTATAAATGACATCTGTCCAAGGTAACTTGTCTCATACGTTATAGCTGTGAAGTGGCTGGCCGGCCAAGCAAGGAAGTGTTGCTCGTGACGTGAGTACAAAGTAGTTGGACAAGTTTTTTTTTTGTCTTTTAAAACCATACGATACACCCATTCGGAACCTCATCTTTCTAGTTTTAGTTACATTAGGATTAGTCCATTGCTTGCGGAGCCGTGTGGTAAAATGACGAACCGGGAAGACGAATACGACTACCTTTTTAAAGGTAAGTACTTGTCTATACCGTGGTTATGTGCTTAGTCGCCTGATTTATTTATTTATTTGACTTGAAATCGACCTCTGCTGCATGTTAGCTCTAGCACATCAGGTAGGTAGCTAGCTAGCTAATTTAGCTGTCGGTCAGAAACAGTAATTTCTAACGAAAGATTTTAGCAAAACGGTTGTGAGCTATGTTACTATTTAATGCCTGTAATTCTGACAGAAAGCGACTTTCTGCTGATGGTGCCACCTAAGTTTATACAAGATGGTCTGGAATGACAAGTAGCTGACTTCGGCAGTTAGCTACCTGGCTAACTTCAAATTAAATGACGATATCATGTTGTTCCTGCTGCTAAGTGGTAGTTTTGGGATTTTAAAATGGAAATATTTCACAACCCAGTTTTCATTTTAAAATTTCTCTCAGATTAGGTAGAAGGTTATGCGAAGTTCCTTGCGTTATCATTGTCACTTAGGGGTAGGTCTGTCTGGTTAGCGTTGCCACGGTGTCACGTGCAGGTGTTCGGAAACGTCATCGGCTTTTCTCTCCTTCAGCGAGGCATAGGGCTGGACACGAAACCAGCGTGTTTGAAGTCACTGGCCAGTACATCAGTAGCAGGGAACAGCATTCAGTATAATTAATGTAAGGTCTCATTCAGTTTAACGTGCCCCTAGAATGGTCTCGAGATTGTTACACATGGCAAGCTGATAATATACAAAACGTTGTACTATTAGCATAGTTAATGTAACCTGTGTGTATCTCTTCACGGAAATCGTGCTTGCTGTGTGGCCTAACATTCCCGAGGCCTGTGTAATGTGGTAATACGAGATGATGATGGCGGTAAATTTTGGTCTCGGAAGAATTAGAAACTTCCAGCTTTTTGTAGGATTTTAAGATTGACTTGACACTTAGCAATGAGGTGTTGTATCGGTTATGAACAAACACTTGCTTCTGATGATATAGAGATCACTTCTACTGTTTTGACTGTCTTTAGATTCTTCTTCGCACATAGCAAGTGTGAGTTTAGGTTTTTTATGGCCAAGACGGTAATAGACCATACGTTTACCAATATCTTCCTGCATCGAGACAACTGAATGTGGCTTATGGTAAGCAGTAGTAAACCCAGAGTAATAATTTTGTCCTTTTACGTTTTCATGGTAACTTAAAGAAATTTTATCAATGAATAAAAGCAAATAGATAGAAGGCAGGTTGCAGGCCTGTGTTGTAACATGTGGTCTTAATTAAAATTGCAATCTAGAGACAAATCCTGCTATGCCTGATTACAAGATAACTAATGGTCTGCAGAGTAGCCGAATGGGACGGACCCTCTGGCAGCAAGTTAGACTCTAAGCACTGACATCATTTCCCTCATGTGCACATCAGCTTCTTTTCTTATCAAAAGAAGATCAAGCAGCAGAGGTGAAAGTCTGTTAGTCTAAGCTCTAGAATTCCTTGTACACATTTCCTGTGTTTTTGATATGGAAAGTGGAAGATGTGTTAACATTTGTCATGCTTTCCCTGCCCTTGAACATATATTTTCTTCATCTTCACACTTTGTTGTCAAGTGAAGGTTGCTGTGGTTTGTATCCCATACAGGTCAAACTCGACCTCTCTTACACTGGCTACTGACTCTGTGGCTTGTTCGGGGCATTCCCTGATGTGCCCAAGCCAGCTGGGAGTTATAATCCAGCTAGGATACCCTCCCTCTGCCTCAGGGGCTCTGCCAGTGCCTAAGACGTCCCCTTTACCGTATTGGCTATTTTAATAGATGCATATTTTAACTTGCTCTCTAAACTGCATTGCAGATGCAGTATCTTGTATTTTCTCATACATTGTGGAGTTAAAGGGGAAATAGGAAATGAACAAGGAACCTTTTTATCTGTTATATTGTGTTTCTGTTGTCAAACCAGAAAGACTAGCAGATGTTTGGAGATTAGTTTTTGGGATGTCCTTAAGATGGCAGTTGATATACAGGCCAATCATGTAAACCAAATATTCCACATCCCAGTATCACCTCTATCTCAGGTCCAGACTTTGCTAGTGAATGTTGGGTGAGTCCATTTGCCCTTTCTTCTAAGCACAAATTAGTTTTTTGAAGGGGAGCAGACTGGAATGTTGCTCTGCTTTCCCTGAGTGAGATGTTGTTGGGGAAACATAGTAAGCGGGGAAAGGTGGAGCCGGTATGTGTGAAACAATGCAGCCCTCCTCCCTCTGGCCCGTCTCCTCTCCCACTGGTGCATCGCTTCCTCCTTTGTTGATTGCTCAACTGCCTGTGTGTTTGAGCTCAGACTGCACCCGTCACTTGGGAACTGAGTCAGGTAATGAGATGGCCCATTGTTCTGCTTTTTCAATAAAACGCTTTTTTTGGCAAAAGGCTTGCAGCACACCTGCCACACACCTGCCATCAACCAGAACCTCTTTTTTTTAATGAATTTTGCAAAGGCCCCTTTGAATGCACCTTGAGAAAGTGTAGCCTTTGGGTTTTGGCTCAGGCCACTCCTGCTTATACTTATTTTCATTCATCCCATTTACCTTTTTAGCTCCTGTAACCATTTTGTTGCAAATGTAATAGCAGGAGGGGCGATTCCCCCAAATCCAATAACTTGCTGATGGTACAATTAGTGTCTCAAAAAGATGTGCAAAGTGACTGTGATTTAAATAGTTTTTTTTGACATGGTCCTTAGTAAAGGTGTTTGGCAGTATCATGAACACCCAGGCAGCATTTTTAATGACTCTTTCTAACTTCTAATAGCATTAAGGATTTCTGGAAAGGACACGCATTTGATTTCAGTTTCAACACTGAAACTTGCTTAACATTGAAGTGTATTCTTAAGGGAAAACTGCTATTGACATTGATCATAAAAATGCAAGCAGTCTAAATGTCATATGATCTTAACCCTTTTTAAAATGACAATCTTTCTGTTTGTTGCATTAGAAAAATCTCAAAAAGATTTTTGCGTATCAGGAAATTATATTTTCTATCCCCTTTAAGAGTTAGACTCTGGCCTGAATGCTTTACTGCAGCCAGGAAACAGTTTCTCAGCAGAAGTGGTCATTCCAGTTTGCGTACTTGCCTTGTTACCCTTTACACATCCCCTTGCATATTTTGCCGCCACTTCAGTTTTGCTGCTGAGAATGAAGGGGCAGTTTTGGTAAAGTGTGATGATTTTCTTTTCCGCATGTAGACATACACCCCAGCAATCTGCTCAGCTGAGTTTTAACACTGACTTGAGCATTAAGTGGGTTAGTGGGTTGTAACCCCTCATCTGTGACATGCCTGAAACAAACTGCTTTTCTTAGAGGCCTCAGCAGGTCCTAGCAGGACATATGTTTCACCAGTTGCCAGGAAGTGAGTAGAGTAATTAATGCACCATAACATTTGATTTGACGATTAGTGGTAAAACGTGCCGTTTCCTCTCACCGTTCGCTGTTTCTTTCTAATACCGTGGTGATGTGCCTTATGAGCACGACAAGAGGCAGCTTCTCTAAAGCAAGATGGGGAGGCGGATTTAATGACCTGGACTTTCTTACTGTGGTTAGGGGGGTGGTGTTGCTGGTGGTGGTGGTGGTGGGGGGGGGGGTTTGTTACAATCCCAAGGCTACATACCAACTGGGGCATCAGCACTTTTATCTGTGTAAGGAGAGCAGGCCTGCGCTTCCCCTAATGTTTCCTGAGAGCCCGTGGGTGTGCTACACATGGCCTGGCCATTGCAGCTTATTCACATGCTCCCTGCTGTGCCAAAGGCTTTGTGAGCAGATGCTCATTCACTGTTTGAGTATAAGGAAAGCCCTTAGCTTATGTTAACAAGTACACGTGTGGTGCTATTAGCACAATGATAGGAAGGTTTACAGTACAAGAAACATTTCCTTCTTTACATTTACTATTACCCACTCAGGACCCCCCAGCCAAACATTCACACACTTTAAAATGTTAACAGTGATTTTGTATTATTTTAATTGCTTCTGACATATCACAATCTGAAGGATAGACTACTCCATGCAGCCCTGCCTTTTCCCTTACCTTTCCCTAGCTGTGTGGCCTTTAATGAAGTTTTATGAAGTGTCCCGGTGTCCGGTGCATGACAATTCCATCTCAAGACTATATCATGCACCCAATATTTTGGTTATTTGTTTGCAGTTTACTAACATGCAGCTGAGTGTTACCGCATGGTTGGCCCATGTCTTTCAGTGGTGCTGATCGGAGACTCAGGCGTAGGCAAGAGCAACCTTCTGTCCCGCTTCACCCGCAATGAGTTCAACCTGGAGAGCAAGAGCACGATCGGTGTGGAGTTCGCAACACGCAGCATCAAGGTGGAAGGCAAGACCATCAAGGCCCAGATCTGGGACACAGCAGGACAGGAGCGCTATCGTGCCATCACCTCAGCGTGAGCATCCCTCTGCGCAGCCCTGCCAGGCTGCGCTAATCTGCCTCTGTTGCGCAGGTGGCTGGGCCCACAGCGCAAGACAGCAGAGCCATAGAAATACCCAGTTCACCTGTTTATAGTGTCAGAGCATGTTTCAGGATTCCCAACTTAGACATATAATTTTCAGGGAGGTGGGTGAGGGATAACTGGGATTTCTGACCGTGTGGGTGTGTTTGTAATTATTCAACGTCACCACAATGTGATGATAAACCTGTACTTTGTACCTTGTGGGGACATTTATCCTTGTGGTGACTGGAAAACCTTAATTCAATAAGGTTAGGACTGGGTAGGGGTTTCGGTTGTCATGTTGGGATTAGGGTTTTGCCCATAGCGATGAATGGATGTGTGTTTGTGTGTGGGGGTGGGGGGGGGGAGTGGTGGTTATTCCAGTAAAACTTCCTAATTTTACTCCTGCTGAACAGCAGTCTGTTTGCATTGTTTGCGGGTGTCAGGGAGCCAATGTCAGTTTGGAACTTACTGGAGAGGTGGTATATCTGACATTTTGTTAGTAGATTCTCCATATTGACGGGCCCCTTGCTGCCGGACTCCTCATCCACAGGTATTACCGTGGCGCAGTGGGGGCGCTGCTGGTGTATGACATCGCCAAGCACCTGACTTATGAGAACGCGGAGCGCTGGCTGAAAGAACTACGCGACCATGCCGACATCAACATCGTCATCATGCTGGTGGGCAACAAGAGCGACCTGCGCCACCTGCGGGCCGTGCCCACGGATGAGGCGCGGGCTTTCGCGGGTGAGCTCCGAGCACTTAGCGCACATCAAAGCACGCAAAACGTTAAGGGTTTAAGGTACCTGGCAGGTGGCTTCGCAAATTAGCTAGCTGTTACAAGTTGGTTTGTGTGACTGGTGTTGCCCTAGATACCCTGTGGATGAATTACAAATGATTCTCCAGCCTCTCAGCTGTTTGTGTTGTTGTTTAACCTTTAGACTGCGGGGTGTAACGGCACTCAACATTCACGGTTCGGTGCAAACCCCAGTTTTGGGTTTATGGTACTGTGCAATTTTGGTACAGTAGGGAAAACAGAATTTGTTTTGAAATTATTTGTTGAAACTGCAAACACAACTAGGAACAGTTGTAAACCAAATGCAATGCATCTGTCGATGTCTGGATAACTACCTAAGAGGTGCTTATTTTCACATAGTGAGAATAAATATGTAAAAAATAATAATAATTAAATATCATAATCATAATTAACTTAATTTCATCTAAATAGGAAAGTTTACAGTACAAGAAACATTTCCTTCTTTACATTTACTATTACCGGACTGGGTAGGGGTAATAAAGGGGTAACTATTTTCTACTAGGAAGTATGCTCACATATCTTTAACGCTAAACACCCCTATAGCTGTAAATATGTTTTTAACCCAGTCTGAACTTGCTGGCACCTTAGATGCAATGGGGAGACTAACTTGCAGAGGCAGTTTTTATTTTGCTCTGGTTCTACACAAACTTCATATCATGTCAAATGAGTTAAAATGGGGGATGTATTTCCTGCAACATGTCCGGGTTAGGTATCACAGAGGTGACGGACAATCTTGGCCTTAACAAACACTCACTCTCCAGTGTGGGTGCAATTTATCAAGAAACCAAAGTGTTCCCCAACCGCCAATTATGACTGACTGTAACCAGCATTAGTGATAACCATCTCACAGCCACAATTGGCTTACTGTTTTCCGTGTTGCACAACTACTTGTGAATTTAGGTTCCACCTCTGTCAAATGTATTCGTTTCTTTGTGTGTACTGAAACGAAAATGATGAAACCAAATGAAACATGATGAATTTTTGTACCGTTACGGCCCTATAGTAGACCTTTTGTTAGAAGTCATTCCTCAGAAAATGCAGAAAACATCCTGTACTTCTGTGTAGTCAATCCTCTCATCACTGTGCACACAGTTGGTGCATCTTGGTTTATTTCTTAGAAGGTCAGTGACTCCTCAGGGGTGTAACATGTTGCGTTATATTATATACGGCTCTCGTATTAAATGTCACACAGCACAAATAGTCTTATTTTTGTCAGCTCAGGTTCAGTGGTGGTAGACGTTGAAGTAGAAGTAAATTTTTATTTCATTAAATCTATTTATTTTTGGCCGCTGGCTCTAGAGAAACACGGGCTGTCTTTTCTGGAGACCTCAGCGCTCGACTCGTCAAATGTGGAGCTGGCTTTCCAGACCATCCTCACATGTAAGTTCTCCTGGGAATCTCTCCTTACCTACACCACAACACACCCAGCAGCCAACGTCCAGGGTTTAAGTGCAAGGGAATCGGCATTGTTGCATAGGCCTCATTTTTAGCAGTAAGGCCCAACTAACTATACCCTATACTGTAAGATTATGAGGTTTTAAGTGGCCGCTTTGCAGCATAATTTGTATATTCAAGTGTCACTTTTAAAGGTCTTAGTTCACCATCGCATTGATAAAATATTACAAGATTTTTTTTTTAACCAAAAGTGGCATCTTTCAGTAATGCATCATTCACCACTAGGTGGCATCAAATACTCAGTGATGAAAATGTTGAGCTTGCCGTTTTGTGACAGCCCCTTTAGGACACACCTCTGACACAGTTTTTCAGAAGCGGTAGTGTTAGTGTGCCTAATGAACATTACTGCTTTAAGGGAGTGTCTAGTAAATGCTGTTTGTCATGTTTATGAAGTGTAATAGGACCTTGTGAGAATTACGATTTTGCCAGTTTAATTGACCGGTGTGCTAATTAAGCTTAAGCTCTGGACAGCTTTGCATCGTCCGCAAAGAGACAGGCGACAGATTCTATTAACAGGGAGTCACATGGCTGATGTGGACTGTGACATGCTTCAGCTGTCAGGTGTATATTAGGTGGAATGACCAGAAGAAGAGAGGAGATGAGTCACAGGGTGGCTTTGGTTTTGAGAACCTGCTGTCTCATTGGCTGGTAGAGGTGGGCTCTGCCTAGTAATGTGGAATCCGAGAGGGTGGAATCTCTCGTCGAGGAATGCAGGCCTCTGACCGGTCTGTAGAGTCCCCAGTCTGGCTGATGCAGCCTGACGTCACTCGGGAGAAAACCGGCTCGTGTGAGACAAGTGATGCGAGGAAGACACAGGTGATGATGGCCAGATGCCGCATTGTAACTGTGGTAATTAGATGCCCTGAGGGGTAAAACGAAGGCAGTCTCACAAACCGCATCAAAAACCATTTAGGTGCATAAATAAATGGCTAAAAAAAAAGTCACCAAGGATGGACAAGAAGTGTCAATATGGCCTGGACACATGCAGTCTCTATTTGCTATCACACTCTATGCAATATAAACAAAATATGCCTTTTGTTCAAGCTCTGTCTCTCCTCTGTTTTGTTCTGCTTGCTCCGTCTCCTACGCAGCCATCTACCGCATCGTGTCCCAGCGGCAGATGTCCAGCCCTAACGACTCAGACTTCTCTCCCAACGCCAACGTGGTTCCCATCACGGTGCAGCCCACCCAGCACACGCCCAAGCAGAGCTCCTGTTGCCAGGGCAACTGAGACCTCCAAATGGGGAGCCGGGGAGGGGTTTGGGGTGCACAGGGGAATGTTGGGAAGGGGAGGGGGGCGGGTGGGTGGCAGATGTTCATAGGAGCCATTCCTGGTAGTTGCATGGAGCAGATAAAGGGGCAGGCATGGGTGGGGCATGATCAGGGGCAGGTTTGATGTAAGTGTCCCGCCCATCCTGCAGCACCTTCAGACAAGTTAATGCTTCGTGCTGCTGGACAATATCCCCTTGTTCTGTGTCAGGTAGTGGGATAAAACAAATGGTCTTTGATGTGAATATAAAATTGTATATCACAGCTAGATACATTTGGCCTTATTTACACCCTGTCCACAAGTCCCTCTTCATCAGTGTCTGTCGTGTTGAGTCGTCTTGTCCAGTTTTATTTTTTAAATGTGCTTTTAGACATGACGTGAATAGAGACCAACTTTTAATGAATCATTAGTGTTACATTTTAGTCTGATTGTGTCGCCCAGCCTTATGTGTGGTCTTAATCACTTAATTAGGGTAATCGAGGAAGCGTTCACTGTTTGGAGAAGATTTTTTTTTAAAGATGAGCTGTCTATGTTACATTTTGGTGGGATGGTGGGGCAGAGATACATTCCAAACCTTTTCATATCCAGTAATGCCCATCTTAGTGGCACACGCAGTGTGAGTGTTGCAAAAGATTCGCAGAATAGATAAGTCATTGATGGAAACACATTTTGATTTCAGCTTTTCAAACAAGTAGTATGTATTCACTTGCATTATACCATACTAAACTGGTTGCGATTCATAAAACATTCTTTTGCCTACTTTTTGAGTTATCTGTGAAGTATTTTGACACACTTGGACCATTCCCTGGATCTGTCCATACCAGGGGGTATTTCCTACGGCACAAGCGGGGGTAAGGTTTCCAGAATCACTGTTGGATGACCTATATGCTAACATGGGGATTTTCTACAGATATTTCATTCCTGGACTTTCTGGATATCAGCTTTTGACTGATGAAATGTACATGGATAAAAGACCCAAAGTGTCTGTTCATTCACCTGAAATCTGATGAGTTCAGGTTTTAAAGGTTTGTTCTGGAATACTTCTTGACAACCTTAATTTAGCTATTTTCCTGATGTTTAAAGAAATGGTTTAAAGCAAAACCATTCTCCCTCCCCCTGTCTTTATTAGATAAAACTAGCAGTGCCTTGGCAGTTTCAGTCTTTGTAGGTATGTTTGAATCTGGGTGCCAGAAGGATCCGTTTTCCATTGGTCGCTGCATTTATCTACCACTCTTAGGCTGTTAGCTTATTTGCCAGCCAATATTGGGTTGTGATGCTGTTTCCTGTTTTCTTTGGTGTTTTTTTTCCCCACCCACCCCAAGTTGTAAACAATATCCTTATTGCCTTTGCTACACTGTATTTAATATGGAGAATACTTGATCTGCTAAAGGGACACCGACCAGCAGCAGCCCGCCACACGTGATTTTCTTCCTCCTAGTTGTCAGCTTGAGAGGACTGGGCAGGGGGTGTTTCTCACAGATGATCTGTCAGGGGATCAGATGATGGGCCTTGCAAGTTTAGTTAAAAGTCCGTTGCAGTTGACAGTCGGTTAGTTTGATTTTGGTCCGCTGAAGGAGCAGGTGCTGCTCACTTGCACGTAGCTACATACTCTAAGTACATTAAGTCTGGAAAAGGGTGCCTCTAAGTTAATATATTGAATTACAAATGGGTATAAATATTAATGGCCCGTTAAACATCTGCAGGTGCTTGACAAACTGCATGCTAGCTTGCATGAAAGAGGGGAGACTAGTGTAGTACATTTGATTCCTCATTTACTTATATAATTACTCTGGAATCTGATTGGATGACTCCCCAAATCATTTCAAGCTGTTTCTGCCTCCCATTATTTAACTGAGCATTCCATTGTCAATATCTGATTTCAGTTTAAAAAAAAATCTGTTGGATTCCCGTCTTTCCAGCCACTGAGGGATTCTTCTGATGCATTATCTTTCGGCCCAAAGAATCCCGTTGCATGCGTATGAAGGTGGCTGGTGAGCAGCAGTCACTAAAGTGTACTTAAAACCTGCCTAGTGTGACAACCCATTTCCCAGTCCTGGCCCTAAATGTCATTGCGTACAATAATTGAATTTTGCTGAGCATAGAATCAGCGATAGATAATTAATAGTTATTAGTGAACGAATAACTGGTGGTCTTTGCTTCAGGTTGTTTGAAACAACTGGGTTAAATCCCTTAAGTTTTGTTCTGGCTAAAACCATAAAAGCCAAAGTGTCAGGTTCTCATTTAAATATCATACTCATCAATGTAATTGGCAGCCCAAGTTGAGATATATGGGGACAGTAACACATTGATTTGACAAAACACAATAGTCAGCTGCCAATAACTGTCTAATTCAACCTGGCATTCAATTAACTGCTCATTGAAACCTAATTAAAAGGGCCCTTGAAACAATAAGCAGCGTTCTGCTTGTGAGCCCAGGGCCGGGGAGGTGTTGGGCTACCTCGTTTGGACCAGATGGCTGTGTTCAGCCCCACTCAGGATCCACATGGTTCTGGAAGGTCCACATCCCCAGTACTCACTTCCTACCCTCTTGAGTGCTTCCCTGACAGATTCTGATGTGGTTTGAATTTTTATTATAATGATTATTTTTTTTTGTTATGTGTGATTAAATGTGTATTGTATATTTGGCTGAAACTATGTATGTATATACAAAAATAAACATTCAGTTTGGTTCTTTCCATCTTGGAAGCGGTGGGATCATCTCCCACACCACCACACCATTTGCATGCTGACGGCCTTTTTGGTGCTTTCAAAAAAAATATATATAAATATTCATTTCATATTTCTTTTTATTAGAAACATTTACAATACATCTTGAAACCATCTTGCAAAAAATAAAAATACATGATACCAAAACTAATGTTAATACAATATGTTAAAATAAAATACAGACTACAAGTGCTAGGTCAGGGGTAGCCCACCCTCTGTCATGAGTGCCGTAGTCCTGCAGCGTCTCTGGCTGCCAACGCCACGGAATACTGAACACCCGCAACAAGCAGCTGCTTAATTTAATTCAGCATAACTGATTCTCTTAATTGAATTGAGGGTTTAGTTTGAGCATAGTCCTGACCAATCTCTTGGACCCCCAGAATCAGAGTTGTCTACCCCTGTGCTAGGCTCTAAAGATCAGCCGGCTGAAAGATGCGAGCGCTGGGCCAGGTGCACCTGGCAAGTCCGACCCCTCTCTCTCAGCAAAGACAAGTCAGCAAAACAACAAAAGAAAAAGAAAGTGATGGTAGGACCGGCATCCGCCAACCCAAACAAAAGCACTAAAACCACTATGAGACCGGTACTGAACTCTTACAGTGCTGGAAGATTCTGAAATGTACCAAAGACATTGTCAGACTGGGGAGTGGGAGAGAAAGGAAAACCCTTTAGAAGATGTAGCAGTAGGGCCCAGGAGTAGATTCCAGCCCCAAAGATGCTTGATAATCGAATGTGATGGCATTCTATTGTGGACGACCGGAATTCAGAGTCGACACGTCGTAATGACGTCTAAGCATTTTGAACAGTAGTAGCATATACACTTTTGTTGTTCTTCACAGCAGATTGATCAAACACTCTGAAATTAACAGTGCTATAGTTTCCAGTCATTAAAGTAACAGTAATTGCACTGGGGACCAAAAGCACCCCATGGACCTCTGCCGTTTATATCAGCAACTAAATGGCTCCCTCGTTTTCTACTTTGCCTACTATGAGAATCTATGTAAGGACTCCAGCGCCTCTGTTTGACTCCTTCAGTACTGCAGGGTGCTGGCCTGCTCCTCCATCTAGTCCACACAACAAGAAACATGCAAAACTAACATGGATACGTATGGATGTGCGCAGTGCGCGTTTGCTCCTGTGTCTATACGTTCCACAAGCCCTCTGGGTAATGTAGTTGGACGGAATGCGTCTGGAATGAACGGTGTCCTGGTTATGTATTGGACTGTAGACTGTTTAGGGGCTGTAAGGCTTCAATGTGTTCATAAGAGAATGTACTCTACTTTAAAATCAGTGCTGTAGGAGATATGCTTTAATTCGCATGGGTTTGGGGTTGTCACTTTACACATGTAACCGTGGGCAGCATACCTGTTTTGCTCATATGTTACATGCTGAACTTGGTATCAAAATCACAACTGATGCCATGTTTGCTTTAGAGGAAAGAGAAAAAAAACAAAATTTGATATTGGCTCAGAGTAGGCGAATAGGACATGTAAAATATATTCACCTTTTTCATTGATGGATAGAATAATATATTTTATAACAAAGAAACACACAAATATGCATTTTTGGTTCACTGATCAAATGTTAAAGGGCTTAAGCACTCTAATTTTAGAAATAAGTCTTTAATATTATTTGCACAGCAAAGGAAAATGTCCAGTATGTCTGTAAATGATGTCATTTTTTCCCCCACATCTTATAAATAAAATGCAAAGAGAGTGCCGAAGAAACATTGCAGGCAGAACGTACTGAACGCTCAGTGAAACAAAAAGGCATTTAAATCCTATCATTGTCTTTTTACCCTAATACCCTAATTAAAATGCGCAGGACTGCCTTTAAAACATTATATTACTGAGAATAAAATACAAACTATGGACAACAGACATAACCACTTATTCCTATGACAGTGAGATATAAATATTCTAATTTATTTTAACCTTCATAAATAAAACTTTTTTATTTTTAAAATTTTCCTAAAAACCAGCTTCCTGTTAGAAATATATTAATGTTTTTTGTATTAGAAAAAAGTACGAGCAACCTCTTAAGACATTTCTTTTAATTTTCATAAATACCATTCAGATATTTTGACACATAGTAATAATGCATATTAGCAAAATAGAATTTACGAAACTGTAAAATGCTTTAAATTTTTGCTTTCTATAAATGTTTAATCCAAATACGTTCTGCCAAGAAAACCTTTTATGAACTAGTCATAAAAGAAAATAGTATTTGATGAATAATTTAAAAGATGTAGGAGTGTGCATCGGACTGATGGGCATTTCTACATTCAAATGCAGAACTTGCATGTCTTCACTGAAAGTTGAGACTGTTTTGAAGAGCCTCTCTCCATCCTGAAGTACATTACACAAGTCAATATTTTCCATTACTCTACAATCACTTTTTAATTGCAGTTATTGTACAGGCATCGGCTGCATTTCTCTGGTTCTGTTATGATAATCGTATACCGCGGTATTATTGTGTTATTAGTGCTTTGCGTTGGCCGCGCTAACACTGCGTACACGTACAGTGCAGTAATCCTATATATGGGGGGAAGCTCACGTATTGCTGTCTCTGTTCACCATGGGCGAGGAACCCAAGGCAGAGGGTATGCAAGAAAAAATAATAACAATAAACAGTCTGTCTGGAAAACTGGATGAAAATCAGCAGGTTCGTGTCGTAAATCAGTTACGATTTTTTTCCCTTTTACCGAACTGTAATGATTGCAATATTATTCTGATACAGGCCACTTTTTTTTTTTTTTTAAAGAAAAAAAATACAATTTGATATTGAGGTTTCACAAGTAGTTATGGATCACTTTAAATAAATGCTCACCTTCCCCACTATTCACCTACAAAACATAAGTATCAGGCTAGCCCTTAAGCGATATTTCTACAGGAATTACAATTAAAAAAAAAAACACCCATGTAACGCCCCCCCTCCCATCATTATTTCAGCTTAATATATTGAAAGTGTTTGCAACATATAGTGTAACAGTACTGGGAGGTGGTTTTTTTCACTAATATTACTTCATTGAAAATAAATGGCTCAGATTAGGTACTTTTTAGTCTATGACTGAAATCTTTGGGAAACATTTTTGTAGATGCAAATAGGATATGTTTCTTACAGATGTGTTTAAATAATAAATCAGCAAATGTTTTATAGGGGAATATTATACATATTTCAAATCTTACACTGTGGTTATATATATAAAAAAACTTAAAAACCTACACTAACCAATGATATAATTTAATTCTACTAAAAATAACTCTTTTAAGTAAAAATGGTGACTTTTTGTCCACCAGCTTTTTATAATTAAAACCCCAGTATAAACAAAACACAAACTTTGACAATAATAGTTTTAACTACAGATAAGGTATATCTGAGAGAATCATAGTCTTAAGACTTAAAAATAAATTATATGTTTTTATTTTCCCCCAAAACATTACCTCACATCTAACCTTTTATTCTTTGGCTACCTTTACTTGTTCACATTTATCTTGTAATTTTGCAACCAAGAATAAAACATTTTAAACGTGACACACTAACAATCTTAGTGAATAGCAAAACATACATCTGTAATAACAAATAACTTTATAAAAGGTATTAAAAACACTGAAACAATTTCTCTTAATATTATATTATGGAATATTATCATACTTATGCTAACACTATATAATGTTTATCATGTTTGGAATATTCCCTTAATGCAAGTAATATCATGTAATAAAGGTTTCATAAATGCTACTTTTTCAAAGTGGTACATTTGGCTCAATACTATGTCAAGGCATCAATGTCCAGTCTCATCAAACAGCATGGGAAAAGGGCTTCAATAAATCCAAACCACTGCGAAGTTTAACACAGTCTGACTAATCAGTGCAAAATAATAGCGAAATGCAGACCGATCCAATGTTCATACACAGAGGAGCCTTCAAACTCTCATAGACACAATGGACCCCCGAGGTTTCAAAATGGGGTCTTCCAACACGCCGCAGAGCAGAACAGTCTCTCTGCAGCCACACCTAACTGCGTGTTTGCCTGGCTACACAGACCTGTCACACGCCCACACACATACACAGTTTTCATGCTATCAGATACATTAATTTATGAAATGTGCTGTGAACAGCTGAGCTTTTTTCACAGCACAACTCTCTAAGAAAACTTTATCCATGACATCAGCAATTTTCCTCCAATCCTGTCTGAATGTTGTGCTTCTCATAAATTCTGAGGTACTGAGCAGCCCTAACACCTTGGCATTTGTCTACCCCATGCCCATAACAACATGGGGGTGTGTTTCGGCATTAAGCACAACAAGTGCTAAATAAATCACATAAATGGCACTGACCAAATTATCATTAAACTATCAAAACATAATTTTTAAAGTTTGCTATTCTTTGCTGGATATTTTAGTATCTCCCAGTCTGAGGTACAAACAGTCAAGCGAAACAATATTTCAATTTAAATATAATGTAAACAGACATGTCAAGCATATGTATTGGAAAACGAACGACTGTAGATTAAATCTTTGCTAGCAAAACAACTGCAAACTTCTAAGTATCTAAATACCAAGTGCATCTCATATGAAACAACGAAAGCAGTCTAAAGCAGAGAATATGACCAGACTTACTATTGCAGACAATGAAAATGTGGTTAGTAAGCTGTAATGAAAAGCCATTCCTACATTTTTTTTTTGTTTTTTTTGTTTGTTTGTATGTTTGTTTTACAGGTTGATAACTGTTTTTTTGTGCTGTTGTCAAACAACTGTAAATGTCTGTAGGGTCCTAAATAATCCCTAGCTGAATGCTTGCCACATATTTTTGCTATTACTGCTTACTTAAGAACGACTGTGAATAAAAATTCACACTCAACATTACTGAGTTTTTGTAGTACTTGCGGTCCAAGACCAAAACATAGATGTCTTGCATCAAATGTTAAGTGCTCACCAAAAAGAACGGTCCTTTGTTTTTTTTTTGTTTTTGTTTTTTTTTATTATTGCTTCTTTACAGATACAAACAAAAGGAGATCATAATGTTGTTCCATTTTTCTTCTACTTGTTTTGGTGTTTAGAAAAATATTTGTCAGAGTCCTAACTTTGACTCATGTGCATGGAGAGACCAGAAAGTATTCAAAAAGCTGTACTGGTATATTTATTCTATGCAAGACTTCATTATGAATTTTCACAGTACTAACGTGTTTTATATTTAATTGGTTGGATTATTTGGCTACATTTGAACCTAAAACAACCATTTCGCTTCAGTTTTGGCTTATCTAACAGACAGTCATGCTTAAGTAAGTGGGAATGCCCATCGTCTTTCTGAGCTCAAAGCTTGATAACTGAAGTTACAGTGTCGTTTGTATTTACTCTTTCCAATGGAGGATAAGGATACATTCAAAACATTTTTTTGCCCATAATGTATTGTAAAGTGATCCTCTCAATGCTTCATAAGCTGATAAACTGAATGGTAAATTTGCACTGTATAGTGAGGCGCAAGCATTTGAACCACTGGGTAAGAGGGAACCTGTCTGTGCCTTGAAGCAGTGAAACAGAGACCCTCTGAGGCTCTCTGGGAAACAGTAGGAGAGCTTCTATAGACAGGATGGGATCAAGTGTGATTGTGTTACTGTATTCAACTAAAATGCTCAATATTCATCCATGCAAAAAAATTTACCCGAAACTGAAAAGGGACATTTGTTATGCAGTCATTATTATATGTAACAAGTGTATTTATTCTCCTACATAAGTTAGTTTGGTTTCAAAATCTTATTTTTTTTTAAGTAATAAGGTGCTTTTTTGTATATAAAGTATCAACAATGTTTGAAATGTAGTCAGTTAAAATACCATTCTCCCTCTTTCATAGCCTTCACATTGTTCTTCATTTAAATTAGAATAATTACTGCTCATTTTGAGTCTTGCAAATGATGATTTAACCCTATTAAACGGATGTTTTGGTCAATGTTGTAGTCAGTCTGAACACTGAGGACTGACCAACAAGGGTCCAGATTCAGCAGTGACCATGTTTTTGGAAAACTGCGCTTGTTTTTCAATTCCTCGCACATCCGCACAACAAAACTCATTGCGCATTCGGCCGTCGCCGGGTTAAGAACAATTTTCTAGCGAGCGGATGTAAGACTTTATGGAACCCTTTGACCGAGGGAAGTTTTTTTTTTCTTCTTCAATTTCACAAATCCATCCTTCAGTGTCAGGAGAGATATTGCAATGCTTCCTAACCCAAACCCATGCCACCTTATTCCCTGTGTACTGGTTTTGCTCACTATCCATCGATCATACACAAGCAGCGCGCTGTGCATTCTGCAGAGGGGCTCAATGAACCCACAAGAAAAAAATCTTTTTTTTTCTCTCAGTTTTCAAGAAAAGCGGCCCTTTCAAGGGAAAAAGTCGACCCCTTTTTACCCCCAAAGGCTTCTCCCCCCGTCCTATATCCTCTGGGCCGAGTAGGAGGGAAGCGGGAGTGTAATTTGATTCCACGCAAATGGAGGCTAAATGGCACGCTGCCTCTGCGTCTATGTCAATTACCATCTTCAGATTCTGTCCCGAAGCTCTGAGGCACGGCCCTTTATATCGGAGCGGCCATCTTGGTGGGGGCAGCTGCAGGGGTCCTGGTACGGGGGTGGGGGGAGAGGTCAGTGAACTCAGACAGCCTCACAATTTCGTTTTTCCCCATTTGTTTAGAGATATTCAATAATCAGAATATTTTGGCTAATGTGTATCTGATGATGTTTTGGTTTCCTTTAGGTATTATTTATATATGTATTGAATGCCTGTCGTTATATAAATGGCTGACGATGTCTTTTTGCTCAGCAGAGAAAAGCCCAGAGCCAGCCCACGGTTTCTCCCAGAGGATTCTGTTTTTTTTTTTTTTGCGTTTGAGGGCTCTCTGCCTCTCAAGACAAAGGAAACCCTGCTCCCCGTGGGGATGGGGGGGGGGGGCGTCACCCTCCCCAGCTGCACCTCAGCCTGCCTGTCCACCCCGTGGTGGTGGCGGGGGGGATTCTGGGGCCAGCCGCCTGCCATGGGCTGAGCATTATGGGGAGACCCTCATCCCCCCCCCCCCCCCCCATCCGCGACCGCCCGCACCTGGACCGACTCCTTTGGCTAATTGCTGCTCGCTCGTTGAGGGGGCCGTGTCCAGACCCTGCCTTGCGCCTTCTCCGGGACAACCGCCGAGCTTGCAGAATGCGGTATGCTTTGGGGAGGGGGCAGGGGGGGGTCAGGGGACAGCCCGCTTCGCCTCGTACCCTTTGTAACGAACTCTGTGTGTGACTGAAGAGCGATGACAGAGGAAAAAGAAATTAAGCGATTTTAGGTCCCAGCTCAGGCTCGCTATAAAACACCTGCTTTTACAGCGTCGCCTCGCGATCACAAAGCAGCTCCCACCGGCTGTCGGGGGGGTGGGGGGGTCGGTGGTAAAGGGGGGGGGTGTTAGCCCTGAAGTTTTTTTTTTGTTCTGGGAGGAGTAAGACCCTGAGAGGCAAAAAAAGCACTCAAATGAGAGCAGGACTCGTTCTGCTTCCAAAGGAACTGGCCTGTGCTGTTGCTTGACAGATCGCCTTGCCCGGGGTCTTTTTAGGTGACCGATTCATTGTACGACGCTGACAAACAGCCGGGCGTTCAAATCAGCCGCAGCACAGACAGAAGCCACTTCAAAGCAACTGGCCTCTCGCACTCAACGCCTGTGGAATTTGAAACCCAAAATGACGCCCATCGGGGCCGTGCTAGAGACACAAATCCGCGTTCCCGCTTTGCACGTCGTTTAAGACGAGACGTAATCTAAGCCCTCGATGAAATGTTCCCCCATACATTATTCCAGCAGGTCATGTGAGTTTCTGTAGGAAGATAAAAGTTAACCTGTATCAAAATGACTCCTCCTCACTCCCCATCCTGACCGTTTAGCTACACGTCGTTCCATGATCAAACAAAAGAACAAAACTTTCCAAATCGTTCCACTTCTCTTTGCCCCATATTTTATCTAACAACTAAGAAATAGCAAAAAGGAAAAAGGTTAGCTGGATACTATTATTTTTCTTGTAAACAAAACTTTTATAAAATATATATATAAAAACAAATTTAAAAAATATTTATTATACTTTTAGTAAAACAAGCAGGACCTTCTGCCCGTTTTAATATACTTTTCTGGAAAAAAAAAATCAGAATGATAATTATATAAAAACATGATAAAAATAAAAAACCCAAAGTGTATGAACAAAATAGAAAAGGAAGAAGAGAGGCTTTAGGAGAATATCCGGATGGCTTGCGTGACCAGGGCGTGGCAGACAGGGCACTCTGGGTGGCTGAGCTCGCAGATGCGGATGGCGCATTCCATGCAGAAGAGGTTGTGGCCGCAGGGCACCAAGGCGGCCGTCACCTTGCTCTCGAAGCAGGTCATGCAGTCGCGGTGGGCGGTGGACTGAGAGTCGCCCACTGGCAGCCGGCCAGGGAAGCCCATACTGGCTGAGATGGGCTCGCTGTGGGCGCGGCGCGCCTGGGCGTGGGACAGCCCCCCACAGGACTCGGGGAGGCTTGGCGAGAGCCTGGTTAAGGGCAGAGGCAGGCCGCCAAAGCTTTTGGAACGCTGTTGGGCGTAATATGCCACCTGCTTAGGGTAGTCGGGGTCTCCCCAACACTGGGCTTCCTCCGAGGCAAAAAACGGGCACGGCTTCTCGCCGGGGTTGGCAAAGTCGCTTTTGCCATACATGCCTCCACCTCCCCCATTCCCGAGTGCGTCCGGAAAGTTCTGGCGGTAGCTGCTGGTGAGAGGCTTGCGCTGCCCCCCCCCGGGGCCCCACACCTGCTGCAGCCGGCTCTCGAGGCCGCCGTTACCGCCGCTGCCGTCGGGTCCCAGGCAGTCGTTCTCGTTGTTGAGGTCGTGCAGGCCGCCCGTGCGGAAGGCGATGTGCGACTCGATCTCCTCGCGAGCGCGTTCGGCGTTGCCGGGCGAGCCGGTGATCTCAAAGACGGGGTCGCGGTCACGGCTCGGTGTGACGATGTATGTGGAAGTCTGCTGCTGGATGCGCTTGATGGTGGAGCCCTTGGGACCGACCACCAGCCCCACAACGCGGTACGGTACCCGCACCTGGATGGTGGTCTGGCCGGGCAGGGGCGCTGGGGGCGAGCCACTGAAGGCCACGCCCAGCTTGTGGCGGGATGCCCGCAGCATGGAGAAGTGCTCCGCGGCGGAGATGATCTCCCGCCGTGCCAGTGAAACATCTTCCTTCCGACCCGTGATAAGAAAAACAGGGTCCTCTCCACGCACAGGGGTCTTGATATAGGTGTTGGTCTTTGCCCGCAGAGCTTTGATCTTGCACCCTGAAACACGGGAAAGGAACACAAGGGGGTGATGTTGAGAGGGACTAGAGAATACAACCCTTTTCATGCTCATCCTCTGATTTATTGATACCTTAGGCTAGAAACACCTACACTAAACAAGCTTTGATGACCTCTCCTGTACTGACAGTGCTCCTGTATCGCACGTTCTCGTAACGTTAGGAGTTTCTCACATCATAATTAGTGTCACTTTTCACATTTTTGAATTTCAAATCCTGCTTTTTTAGCCAGATATTCACAGAATAGTCCCAAATTTAAAAAAATAATAAAGCGAAATGAGAAAGGATCAATGTACTGCCTTTTTTACCAGTCAGGGACTTGACCCAAAAATGGTAGATGGTGTGATACTGGACAATGGAATTTATGGGACTTTTTTAATTGAATGGAATGGAATTCATTACAATTAAGATTCACTACTGATACAAACATATTGATATGTTACGATGCTTTTATTTTTATTCTGTATTATTTGTGCATTCAACACACATCTGGTCTTTTTCCACTCTTTCCAAACTACAATTCTTTAAAATATTTTCTATATCAATTTAGATATTAATCAATCTTTTACACCTCCTATGTACAACAATTGAAATTTTACATACAGTACTGTGCAAAAGTCTGCCAAAGAAAATTGTTTTATTTATGTTGGTGTAAAACAAAAAAACCCTCTCTGAGTGACGCCCCAAGCTCTGTAGTATATTGTAGTATATTTGTTGACCCACTAGCGTTACCAAGGCTGGCTAATCAATACCTCATCAAGTTATTCCACTAAGTTAATTAATTATGTGAGCTGGTGGTGAAATTTAACAAATACATGGAATGACTGAGGAGCCCCTGAGAAGACGACAAGGTGGTCTTACAGCTATCCAAGAAGATATCGGAAACTTTTGGGAGAACAGAAGAAATTCTTTTTATCTTTTATTCTGTTGCTGTTCATTTATATTAGATAAACCATTCAGGGGGAAAATCTGTATTTGCATATATTCTAACATTAAATCATGTATTTTTCTGAGCAAATATACACTTAGGCCTGCTACCCAGATAAATACCTCTAAATATTTTTCTTTGATGGCCTACGACTTTTGCACACGACTCTTGTTCACGTACAAATACTCACACACACACACACGTGGTTCTGCTGGGCCATTGTGCGCCTGTACTTCAGTTCTGGCTCCTTCAAGGCCACGCACAGCGCGCAGATGCACACACACACACACATGGCTGTAGCTCTTTAAGCGGGAGAAGCAGCAGCATCGGACCCCACATCACTTCCTCCGCGGGGCTGCGGTGGGCTTCTGATTCCCTTACATGCCCAATTTTATTTGCAGCGGCAGTGTATAATAAGCCAAATAAGATTCAACAGATCCAACAGGAGTGGACATTGGTCATTTTTGGTTTGGCTAACTGCTATATTGTTTCTGTATGGAACCTTAAGCACGGGAGAACACAGAAGGGAAAAAAATGACCATAACTGGGAGGTGCAGAGCCTCTGCAGGTGGTTAATATTAATAGCCCTAATGCAGAGGTAGTTGGGGGGGGGGGGGTTATTGTGTTTGTCCTAATATTAGCATTGTATTCCAACATGTATACGACATGCTTCCTCGACTGTGGTTCGTGATGGAGCTTTCAAAAAAAAACCCTCTGGCAACTGATGGAAATAGAGTGATCTGTCAGTGAGAGGGGAATGTGAGGCCAGGAGTGGGCCATCCGCAGTGGGACAGCCGAAAACATACGAGGCACCCGTGAAATCTACCATTACACATCTGTAACTAAAACGGGCCATGCCCCCAAAATAAATAAATAAATACATAATGAATGAAGCGTTCTACAGGATGCTCTGAGCAAAGCACCTGATTCATTAACCATATAGTATATCACTTATCCGACACACTAACCATGACTCAAACCAGACTTTCCTGGCTACCATTTGACCCAAAAGCCCTATTCACACAACATTAGATCGGGGTCCTTGTGTCCCAGGAATTCCCTACTCCCTAAATGCGATAAAACAAGGAATTGCTCAATGAAACGCTGGCCTTAAAATGTGGAGGTCTTAATTGCTCCCCCAACTGTCAAAAGAAGAAAAAAGCTTTATTCATACCTCGGGCGAACCTTACGGCTCGGAAACTGTTTATTCACGAGTGATGACCTGGCTGGAAAACGCTCTAGAACACCGCAAAAATTAATTTTCATGGTTTCACGTTAAGAAAAACAAATACACCAATTAAACGCTTAAGTGCATATTATGTATTAGTGTAAAATGCTTGTCGGGCTGTTTGTTTAAGGTGAAGCGTTCCTAAACCGTGCTTTTAAATACATTCTTTAAAGAACAAGCTTAGTTTGCCCACTGTCGCCACCAACATAGCAAACTTTATTTAATTTGAATCAGCAGTGTAATTGTGACACTATGAAACCTGCTGGCACCAAATGACCAACAAGTTATGAAATACTGGTAAAGTGACACGCTGATTGTGCTACTTTGCAGAAACAAATCAGATAGCATAGTAAAGGATAGCTAAGTTTCATTATTGTCATGAAATGTGCAAGACTGTGTTATTACATTAAGGTTAAAAAGCACAGAGTTAAACTGCTTTCAGGTATTCACAGAACAAGTCATTTCAGCAACTGCTATATTATCTCTTTTCAGGTGCTGTAGCAGACTTGTCCCTTATTTATACAAAATGTTGTCTGAAAATGTCATTATCACCATCAAGTTAATGTTGAGACCAATTTGCCTTTTAGGTAAACCTTGCAGTGAATACGGCAGCTAAAAGTATTCAATACAGGTATCAATACGAGCAAATGAATATTTAATTTAAGTTTCAAAGGCGGTATTAAAATACTCTTCAGTCAGCCTGAACATTGACTGGTGTAAACGTACTGACACAATAACACAAGCATAATTATGACAAAAAAAACTGTATGTAGTTGACATAAGACCACAATACACTGTCAAAACTTTTTTTTTCCCCAAGGCAGCAAATTCGCGGATCATTCGCGGATTCACCAAACACTTGTCTTTGTTATTAAAATTCTGGCATGCGCTTCAAAATAGTCTGGCGAACAAGTGCTGTGACCGGAGCAGTTATTTGCACAACAAAACTCAATCACCGCGTCGATAAAATTCCGTGTAGGTACACCACCCTTGCGGGAAAGCATCGCTAAAGGAGGAGGGACACCCTCTTTCGGGGGTCTCGCTTAATCTACTGTCACCCTGGTGGACTTGGGAGCGGGATGTCGGGGTGCTGCATCGGCTTACTGGGCGTGCCTCCTTTTGAATGTTCCGCACCCCCCCTTCCTCAGCTGCCCCTAACCCCCTCAAGGCCATGTTAATACAGACTCCGTCATCAACGGCAGCTGACACAAAACCTAGCCCCCGCAGAGAAAGGGGACTTTTGTTCTCTCCGGTTCTAGGGGTCAAACTCCAAAATGAAGGTGACAGGCCGGCCGAAGTGTTGCAAACACTACCAGCCTGTCCCAATTACGCAGCTTTTCTCCACCAAAGGAGGCGATTTGGGAGCGGGTGAGGGGGAAGCTAACCTACTTGGTTTCTGTGGTGATTTTTTTAACTACAGTGGTAGGGGAGTTACCCATTTGTCCAGCTTCCTTTAATGCCAATGCAAATTTGACGCTGGAGTTCAGCCTGACAGCTGCCATTATTTAAGTGTGTTCTAACTTCACACGCCAGTTAAAACTGCAGGCGTCAGTACGAATATTCGACGTATTATTTAAAAAAAAAAAAAATAATAATAATCGATTAATCGACATGTCTGTAAATTATCCGGACTGTAAACAACGATCCTAGTTTTACATTCAGTAAATCGGGATGGACCGCAGCTACGCACCTTGCATTGGATGTTTAACTAACAAACGCCTATGTCGTGCAAAAAAAAACAACAAAGACAAAATGAACTGTCAGTTAATATTCAGGTCCGTCCCAGGCTAACATTCGCTACTTTCGCCGATTTTGAAACACTGGAGATCGCACACATGACAAAGGGAGCAAGCGCGGATGCCTGCCATGCCTAAAGTGTCCGTTACAATTCATTGTTTGAACGCTGGAGAGACCTGCAGCAAATGCGGAGTCGCCAAAGTATATTGGAAAGAAGGTCACACCTACTCGATCTTGCTTAATGTACCCTTTACATTCACGAGATAAATAAAACAGTTCACTTGCCCAGCGGTGTGGGGAAAACGTGTCTTTTGACATGTACAATGTGATGCGCTGGCTAAAAATATAGGCGGGCTACAACAACAAAACAGATCAAAAGTATGGGAGCAAGTTCCTTCTATGCTACAAGTACTGGCACACCAAAAAACACAACTTGCAATACGTCAGTTTGAAATAATACATTTCCGCTTTATCTTTACCTTGTCTGCCTACTATTTCGGCCACATGTTCGGAACTGGGCACAGGCACGCATTCGGTTATGTTACAGCCACGTCCTTTCGTTTCAGAGGACCCCTCATACAGGACACATAACTTGTTCTTCCCTTGCAAAAGCCCAGGGTCTCCGCCGCTCCCTCCTCCGATGCCGTTATTATGGTTGTTGTGATGATTATTATTGTTGTTACTCCGATCTTGCACTCCAGGAGTGGGAGTCCCGCCGCCACCGTCCTCAGATTCCCCGAGACCCAAAAGCGACAGCTGGCCCAAGGCGACCCTGAGAGCACGGGAGTCGTCCTCTTCCTCGTCCGGCGGCACAAGCAGTCCCTCGCTTCCGAAGCCAGAGACGGCCAGATCCCCGCCATAGCCCCCATTCTTCTCCATGATCCCTGATAGAACCAGCAGGCTCGGCATGGCTAACAAAGAGTATGAAACAAAGACAGGAGAAAGACTCGAGAAGCAGCATCAGTGCGCCGCCTCCCCGCCCCCTCCTTCTCCAACGCCCACTTTCAGTAGGCCACGCCCACCGGCCGCCCCCTCTTCCTGCCGGCCTGGCTACCTTCCTTTCTTCTCCCTCGACTCGCAAGGCGACAGCCCCTCTCTACATTGGAGGGCTAGGGCCATGTCAGACTCCACCCCGTCTGGTTAAATCCGCTCCCTCCAATGCAGACATACTAAAGCCGCCCCGTTCTCCTATTTCGTCTGGAGCTCATAAATCGTGTAGCATCGCTGCAACCAACTACATCAGCCCACCCATTTCCCATTAAAAAAATCCCAGCCATCACGCGTTCTGGCTTTGTGTAACTAAGAAATACATGTATATATTTTAACCGCGAATAACTTAGCATTCACAGAAAACCGACATCAGCAAACATAATAATTAGGAAAAAAACACTGGAAACAAAAATTAATGAGTTATACCATGAACAGCCTTTCACTGCTGTTTTTGGAGGAGAGGAGGAAGGTAATTTTGAATACCTTAGAAACAGAAATGTATAAATGGCGTATTCGGGAACAAGTTGTTTTGGCATTAGGAATTACTGTAGGGTATTTTTACGTCTGTGTTTTCTTTAGACTGGCACTTGCGTGACCCAGGATAAAATCCAAATCCCACCGCTCCCCTCACCGTTACAATATGCATTGAATGAGGTTGCTGCGGGTCAATGTTGGAGCGGCGTTGTCTCTGGCGCGCTTCTGCGAGGGTGGGGATTTGGGGGAGAAATGGTGTGTGAGAGCAGCACCGTGTATGTGGAAGGGAAGCTGTCTGTGAGGCTCTGGCACAGCATTGCAGTAGCTCATCGCCTTTTATTTTAACACTTTCGTTTCGTTTTATGTCCATGGGTTTTCTAGTTTATGCTCATGTTCGCGCCTCGAACAAAGAACGACTTCAAGCACGCTGTACCAGATAGCAACCGCCTCTGGATTCAATTGAAACCACGCCTGCTTGCAGCAGACAAGTCTCGAATCATTATTATTATGATTATTATTACTAAAATAATAATTATGATATTAACGATGAATGGTATTAAAGTTGTAAAATGTTATGCACTATATACACAATATAATATTACGCTAATATAATACTAATGTAATATATAACAGGGCAATATTGCTTCTGAAATAATAATCCGAGGTGGTAGTCTAATCGGAAATGCAGAATATTAATTAACAAATTGCTAATTGAAAGATTAGCAATGTAGCATCATTAACGTGGTGTAATATTTTACATTTGTGTGCAGATTACATTGTAGACGAATAAAAATAGCATAAAAATATAACGTCATGCTGACAGACAGTCCTGAAACATTTACAGTAGCTGTCCGGTTGCACACATGCGCGCGGCAGACATGCGTAATGGGCGCGTCAGACGGCGGTCTGTATCAGTGCGTGCTGTAAATTAGAGCCCAGCCTGCGCTTATTTGTGCGAGGGCGATGCTTCGTTGGGTCTGCAATGGGCCATGTCTTATGTGACAGGCGTCCACCTATGTTTTGAACACACCCTCCGAGGATTCGTTTTTCTTTTTTTTTTCTTTTTTTTTGTAATTGCGGGGGCATGGTTTTGTGGCTTTAAACGATCCATCACCTGTTTCTAGTTTCATTTTTACGGGAATGTGTTTATTTGGGTGAAACCCCATATTCGCAGTTCTCCGCTGACAGCTTGGCTAGGCTTTGGACGTACCCTTAATCAGATTATTTTGCGTTGAACGCTTCCGAGTCATTTCCCTCCTGTTCGTGGTCTTTATTTTTATATTCAAAACGCTGCACACTTGGTTTGCAATAATATTAAAACACACCCATTACCTTTAAAAGTCTTAACATAGTAAATGCGAAATCTTAAGTGTTGACTTTATAATTGACTGTAACATGAGACACGTATATACGATAAACATCGAACTAGATTGTCCCTTTACAGCGTTGTGGAGTGCCTAGCCTCTTTGAAAAATAATACGGAAAATGAATAGACTACACTTTAAATCAGTATACATTACATATTTCTGCTGATAAAACTTCACTTGCGGTTTAGGTATTTTTTTCATGTAGAGCATGGCTGCAAACAGTCGATTTATTCATCAATAAGGAATCCGCATGTGTTCATGAATACAAGTGTCCCGTTTATTGAAGACGTCCGGACATTCCAGCTACACCGGTAAAACATTCACTGCTAAATTTGAATGAATGTCTTCTGTTACACCAGGAGTGTGAGGTCACAGCCAATGTATCATTACAGCCCCAAATGGAAAAAAGAAAGTATTTTATTAAAAGGAGGGTATCAGCGCTCCGTGAGAGGCAACGTCACTTTAGTGGGTAGTTTGCGTGGACATAATCATCGTCTAGACACATTCCCCAGACACTAATTAGAGAGGGTCTCCCCTGGGGTGTTACAGTGCGGGCCAGGAGGGATCAATGTCACCAGTGAGGATGTCAGGATTAAATTTATCAGTCCACCCACCCTTCGTGCCCAGTGTCAGAAAAAGGACAACGAGCAGAAAAACAACAGCATGGCTATGAAGGGGATGAGCAGGAGGGGTGGCCTAAAAGCAGGACTGGGGCCTTTAGGGGGGGCAGGGGGGTGAAAGGGAGCAGGGCCAGGTTCTCTGTCATAGTGTCAGTCTGTCCAAAAGGTCTGCCTTCACTAATGGCGTCTACAGGAGTAGTGAGCGCCAATCAATGGCGAGTATAGATAATGTATTGGGTTTCTCTTTCGCCTGCAGTCTGTCTGTGAGTTTTGGACCTGTTTTGAGGTTTATCTCTCTCCGCTGGCTCTCTATCCCTCTTCTTTTATTTGACCATCTGCTTGAGTGGTAGATCTTTCTACTGGGGAAATCAGATCTTGTATCTGCCACCTAAGCTTTATAGGTGAATTTAGGGTGCAGGAGGAAGACCAGAAAGCTGCAAGTTTCGAATTCCATGAGGAGCCTCCCTCCTGTGTCCCTGAACAAAGCGCTCAGCCTGAACTACTTCAGCAAAAATATCCTGTAGTGTAAAATAATAAGTTTACTTATATCTGGATAATAGTGACTAAGCAACTAAAAATTTCTCTATCTGCCTGAAGTGACAACTTCATACAACAACAATTAGCCACAATCTATCTAATACTGTGACAATTGGCTTAACTGTTTCTCAATAATATGAGTGACAATTGAACAGTGACGGTGATGCTATATTTATGACGATGATAATTTATATACTAAACAATGTCTATTGATGAAATGGGCAGTCGTCCCGAAGATCACATGAGTTTGCTGGAGTCCAGATGTCCTTAAATGGAAATTCTGAGCTTCCCCACTGTGCCCACTACCGGTCACTGGGATGCATTATTAGATATTCTAAACGAAGTAGACATGGAACAGCATGCTTTCCCACCTTGATTGCAGTACTGCTAGCTTGTATCTTCTTCTCATTTTCACTTGGCTGTGCATGGGTACCGTTGGTCAGTGATGGTTTATCACACTATGGGTCTCCTGACAGCTTCCGGGAGACCTACCTCCGATTGGAGGGGATACACACTTCATATGACACCTCTGTCTTTTTCCGTCATCGATAATGTGTCACATGCATTGGGGACTTGGTGGTAGCAAAGTTCTGTTAGTTCTGAAGGTCCCGATTGTTGTGTATACTTAAAAAGATTCACTTGCAGCACAGTTTCCCCAAACTGATATATATGAGCATCTTTGAAAGCACACAGCCAGTTCCCCAATTCCATCTACACCAAACAGCTGGTATAAGTAAGAATATAAACAGTATGCATGGTTGAAAAACATCCTTAATACTCTTAAACAAGGCAGGAACTCTGAACTCCATTGGGGAATATGAATCAGATGGCTGTGACATCATCCCTTTACTGGGATATTGGCTCATTCTTCCTGTCTATTACTAATAGCCAATGATAATCTTCCTGTCACAACAAAAGCTGGGGACTGCTGTTGTTAACACACCTTCGGTGGTGATTGGCATTTACAGCACATCACCTTATGACATCATCCAAACTGCAGGGATGCACCACCAGAGATAGAGCCCATACAACGAAGAAGATAGACCATCCTGGGTGATACCAGGATACCGCCATACCCATAATTACTTTTATTCGGAAGTACCCAGATTTACATGTGACATCTGGCTCGCACGCGATCAATGCATCGAAGCAATTAAGTAAAAAGAAAAAAAAAATAGGATCTGTGACCAAATGCACGCTGTGGATCTGTCCTCGAGCTCCACAGAACCCACCTGTCATAACCTGACACCCAGGTGGCGCGATCATATTGCAGCACTTCTCTCATAATGCGCGTGCAATCAGACCAACAGACTCCCAACCCTCCAGGTATTTACCTTAGAGTGCCGCAGACGAAGGACATGTATCACAATGGCTGTAGAAATAAGAGGGAAAAAACATACACTGTAGATTTCATCTGTGAAAAAGCTTTCAACGCGCCCTCCCTGATCGTTATCTGTTTCACAAGGATTATGTCAGTCAGTTCAACCTATATTTCATATGTACGTTACTTCACTGTGTTCGAATTAAATAACTTTTCTATAGTATGTTTTGCACTTAATATAGAATATTCATAACTATAGCCTGTGTTTGCTTATATTTATTAAATGTGTGTGTGCCTTACGATGGACCGGTATCCCGTACAAGGTGTTCCCCTTGCCTTAAGTGCTGTGTTTTCTGAGTACCTGGGCCTCCTCAACACTCTACTGGACGAATGTATGGGTGATGGATGGGTAAACTTTAAAATGTATTCAGCGGTTCATTAAGTAAATCGTGAAAGTTTACCCTGACGCAAAAGCAAACAGAAACGTACTTCAATCGACGTAAAGTGATATATCCACTAGGGGGCGAAATTTCCCTATGCATGCTGTGTTTAAATAAAACAATCGAAATCTACAGGCTCAGCTGCACCGAGGTTTTTTTAAGTAGCTTAGCAACACGTTTTTATGTATTGGCGAAGAAGATGAAATCAAGTTTTGCACATTTTAAATGCAAACTTTATTTCAATTAATTAATTGCTGAAATAATTTGAAGTTGTCAGCGGACTTTCTGAACGCCTGTGGTTTCCGCGCGTGCACACGTTGTTCGCGAGGAAAGTTACCCAGGCCTAAATATACACAACTAACAACGGTTTTATGGAAATGTAGTGTAATAATGGTACTAATCTGTTTTCTGGTAAGTGCTTGTTTTTGAAAAGTTTCTGAATGCATATTGGTGCTTGTAGGCATTTATATCCATTTTTAACACGATTCGATTACCTGATGTTAAAATTGAAAAAAAAAAACCATCGCTTAGGTCATTAAACCGCAGTCAACATGAGCAATCATTTGGGAACGAAGCGTTTATTAACATGTTACTGAAGAAATTTCTGTATATTTATGTTTCAAAAGATATTAGTTTATTCAGAGCAGTTCAGGTGAAACTTGATGTCCTTTGGCATGTATAGCCTAATAAAAAATGAACTAATATTTTAATAAATTGAGTACGAGGGCGATAAGTTTGTTGCCTGGTGTGTTAATGCCCGTATGTGTTAATGTTAGAAGGGGAAGGATGTTTTATCCGGTGGGATTTATGTTGTGGCAGTGTGTGGTCGATAATAGAAATCACAATAGCATAGGGGTGTCATTTTATTAAACGAACTTCTGCTTGTGGCGTAGTGTAGCTGGGTATGTATAGTCTGCACTCCCCAGTAGCTAGGTCCACATTGCCAGTGCCATTACTACACCAGTCAAGCCATAAATGGTACGCTTAGGAGATAAAAATGCGTGAGGGACCCATTTTCATAAGACTGTAACTCCCGTTAAATATTAACATTTTTAAAATCTACTGTAAGTATGAATACATCGAGGATACTGAAAATAGCCCTTCTTTGAAACTTAAATGTGACCTTTCTATACTTTCCCTTTCTTAAGATATCTGATTTTATTCTTGATCATTTGTTTATACAGTCGAGAATAATGTTCGAAGACTCCCCTATTATATGTCGAACATTTGGGAGCAGAGTACATATTTGAATGTGTTTTGGATTTGTAGTCACGCTGTTATATTTTATAAGGTTAGCTACCTGTCTGTAAACAGTAATGCTAGTGTTTATTTTGTTATGAATGCAACATTATCCTGACACTTTGAGCACTGATGTGTTCTGTTCTCCTGCAGGAAGAAATCATCTCAGGCTCCCAGCACTTTCTATTCTTACGAACATGCTGAACATCTAAACCAAATTTTTACTGACTGCAAATATGTGACGCTCATTGTTAGAGGAGGGTTGTGTCGACTAGCAAATTAAGGTCACTGTTTTTGAATGCCGCCAGGGGGAGATGTCGCGTCAGTGTATTGTTACCGGCCGAATTCGCAGGTTCATGAAAACTTTGTCATAAGACTGTAGTGTCTGCCGGAGTTTGTCACTTCTCATGAATTTAAACAAGTAACGGTAAATAACAGTTCCATTAAAGACTCTCTGATTACTAATGTTGAATAAATAACGCTTCTCTAATCGATTAACACATCTTCCTGCATAGCTGGAGATTTTTCTTTCAGGGCTGAAAAATGCCACCTTTCCTAATGTAGTCCTACCACCACAGCAGAAATTATCAACGGCGTTAGCAACAGGTTTTTTTTCCTCTAATGACTTGTTGCTGTTTGTACAGTATGCCCAAATGTTAATGAAATTAATGATTTCTGTAGTAAAATTATTGTGTGAAAAATGAAAATTTACTGAAAACCAATCACTATAATCTGTATTGGAATGAAACTTTACATTAGCTTCTTTGATATCTATGCACTGGTTTGGAGTAAGTAAGTAAATAATTCACCTTGGTGTAATCCAAATTATTCCCAGGTAAACCATTAATAAATCTTACGAAACGGCTGAGTGGTTTTGTCTGCCTTGTAGAGGGTACCCCCCCCCCCCCAAAAAAAAGAACAGGTCAAGGGACATCCCATGAAAAATGCACTTTTTATATAGTTTTTGTGTTTATGAGAGAACAAAATCGCAAGCTTCAGCCATGAAGGGCCGGTGGCACTGTTTCTCTGTGTGGGGGGTCCTTCACTGACTGATGTTTAGCTTTGATATTCGTACAGCCTTTAGCAGGTACACAATGCAAAGCCTTTTTTTTTTTTTTTTTTTACCCCTGTGAAAGTCAGTCTTAAGCCCCTCTACTTTTTCCTTTTTCTCAATTTTACTTTGTCATAAGTAATGGTTTCCAGTCAGGCACTAACCACAGTGTTGGCAACAGAGATCAGGCTTGGTTGCCATGGATATGGGAATGTGTTGCCAAAGCTATGTTTTTTTTTTTTTTTTTTTTTTACGGTAGTAGGTTTGCACTGTAACGGCAATCAACATGTACTTCAATTTGTAGTTCTTTTGTTGTATTTTCCCTTTCTCCAGGCAGTGTTAATCAGTAAACATTTACTTGTTTCAGTTACAAAAGATAATATTTTGAACAGGTTTCAATAGATCCAAATGGCTAACTGCCTACTTTAGAATCAAAGAGAGGCTTAAGCTAAATTAGACTTTGCATTTTAGGTGATTGATGAAAAGTACCTTTTTGTTATGCATGTGTTTGAGAGACCTTTATTCATTTTGACTCTTGTTCTCTAGAACCCTTTCCAACTGTGTCCCGATGCATTTCATGCTGAATAAAATAAGCTCTATTACAAATGAGAGCCTCGACTGAATAAGTGCACCCTTAACCATTTCTCTCTTATGGGTGTTGCTCTTTTAGGGGAGCAGAGGCTAGGCTCTGTATGTGGGAGTAGGTAGAGCGGGGTGCAGATTGGGGGCTGGTGGGCGACACTGTGCTCGATGTCGGTAAAAAGTGACTCATCCTTAGTTAGCCCCGCCCCTCTTGGAAAGCCTCTTGTTGGGGTGGCACTACTCTGGGCCAGCCTGGAGCGGGAGGGTGTATCGGGGGGTGGGGCTACACAGCCGGACAGCGTGTGTGGGTGTGGGCTTTGGGGTCTTGCTCCACGTGGGGTGGGGGGAGTGGAGAGAGAGAAGGAGAGAGAGAGAGAGACTGCAGGAGCCGAGAAGGGTCTTTGTTTGCCGAGCGGTGCGATTTATCCCACACTAGCTCCTGCAGTGGGATTCTGCAGGAATGCTGTCTGCAGCTTGTGTGTAATGAAGGACTGCATTTGCTGCTAAAGACCCATTGCCCTGCAGAATGGTCCGTCTCTTATATCTAGCCTTCAAATTCATTGTCTTCTGGACTCTCTGAGGTGTCTGGTTTTTCTGCTTTATTTATGCCTCTCCTGGTTATCTCCCATGCCCCCCCCCCCCCCCCCACATGCCATACTCAGGCTGTGCACATTTATTAATATGACTCTCTGGACCTTATGGGTACAGGGTAGCCCATGCAGATGTGGAATGTGCCAGAATTGCTCTTGGAAAGCCACGCCCACTCCTGTCAGGTGACCTGCCGTGTGTCCATTCAGAAAGCAGACTGTGTTTCATGCCGTGAAGCATCAGCACAGTTTTATGGGGCGGCTGGCCGTGTATTAGTGAAGAGCATGAACCTCCAAATTGAAAGCTGCTGTTTCGACTCCCAAAACAGGTTCTATGTTGTATTTTCGATTGAGGTACATACCTTACATGTCTTGAGCAGAACATCCAGCTTCAGGAAGAGAATCAGCTGAACAACTAAATATGAATTGTCAGTGTCAGTTTGTGCATTGGCTGTTTTCCAGATTCTCATTTAATTCCTGATGCGATAGACAGCAGGGAGAATCTCTGGCTGTGACAAAAAAAAACGTCCTTAAGTTGATAAAGCAGCAAAACTGGAAATGTGATTCACCCATAGAGCTCTGGCTAGCTTCCCCTTGCCCAGTTTTCCAGCACTGAGTAAAACCTGCCAACTTGATCCAGTGCCTGGATCGTCCCAGGCTAACGAACAGCCTATAATGGTTCTCAACCTGCACAATTGGGCAGCAACTCTACTGTACGCATGATGGTTGTAATTGATGGCACAAGGCCCACGTTCTGGGTTGTAAATATGTTTTTTGTATATACTGTGGGGGTGTTAATCTGAAGGCTTTTAAGATGTTATTTCTCATGAGGCAGCATAGAGCTGTATATGTCTTTGCAGTCCTGAATCTTTTGTGTTTGACAAGCTGAATATAGCTTAACATGGAAGCGCATCAGTTTAATACACATTTGCATGCAGATCGCCCAAGGGGGGGTCGACGTTCATTGGGTGTGGTGCGCAGGTAATGCGTTCATCCTGTAGACACTCGGGGAACAGGAACTGGCCATATTCCTGCCTTTTTGCTTTCTTCCAAACAAGCTTCTCTGTGCTTAATCGGCATCTGTTTGTCTGAGCTAACACTATGGGAGCTAAATCATGGTGTGAACTGTTATTTCTGCTTTTGTTTAGCAACGCAAGCCTGCATAGAGGGAAATAAGACCGTCTGCGGTTATGATTTAAAAGAACGTGGCATCATAAATGTAATTGCTGTTTACCGTTGTTCTTAGTTTTAAAAATAATTGTTTCATTTGATTTGAATGTTGTGTGGACTCCACCTCCTCTAACAGGCGTTAAAGTTGGGGCTTCTTCTCTGTAAAAATTTGTCGTGGACTCTAACTGTCTGTGGGGCTTACATGTGTGACCAAAGGAAGGTTTTTGTTTGTTTGGATAGTTTTTGGATTGCTTGTGTGGTAGTTCAGTTTCGGGCTGACTCCTCCTATCCCTCCTCATCTTACATACTCCCTCCCTCCTTCCTGAAATACATAAGCTGTGACTAACCAAAATGCAGCCAGTCTAATTCAGAAGGCAGAGCTCTGCTCAGGACTGATTCAAGAGCGACTTTCTAAACCCAGGAGCACCGGCCAAGCAGCTCAGTCCACTCTGAACATTCAGGCAGCTCATCCATCCTGTTCAGGAGTTCCACTGCAAAGAGCTCGACACGCCTGTGCATTGCCTAAATCTGCAAGGTAAAGTTGCTGGGTATTTTTATAAAAAGGAAGTGTGGCATCATAAATCTAAGGGGAGGAATTCTTTGGCTTGCTTTAGGTCAAAAGTGGACTGTCCGTTTTACCTGCAGGGCTAGTAGCTGTGACTCTCCTTTGAAGTCAGAAATTTCTGTCATTTTTTCACAGAAAGTTCTGAAAACAACTTTGTTCTAATTTTCTTCTGTCTGTTCTACAAATGGAATTTTTTGTGTTATGGTTTAATTCACAGTTGCACTTTTTATAATCACTAATTATAATTTAATAATTGCAAATTATATGATTGTAAGGGTGAGTTTTGTGATTTTTTTTTGTAAGAAATAATATTTAATTGCAAAGTAAAAATGTGAACTCGCTTGTTTTTTACATTTTTTATTTATGATTTTTTTTAAATGAGAGATACACGTGAACACAGAAGTGGATAAGAGGAAATGAGTTTTCTCTGTGAATAGGAAATCACTCACCAGCCCAGGATGTGTGGAGTTAGATCCATGTCGTCTCCAGAGTGAAAATTCGGCACGAGTTATGAAGCTAATTTCATTCATAAAAAGTGTGAAAAAGCAAAAAAAATAACAGAGCCGTGACCTTGGTCAAAGCGTGGTCAGACTATTAAAATCATCATTGTCCCACTGCATCCCCTGGTGTGGGTCACGGGGACTATTAAAATAGGGCTTGAAAATGTTTTAATCTCTGTGTCCCAGATGGTGCCGGTCAGTGACCGCTGATAGTGTAACTTTTTTTTTTTTTTGTGGAAACTTAAAATAGCTGCTTGAGTCATTAGTCTGCTTGTGATGCTGTTCTTATTTGTTTTAAAAGGTCTGAAGGTTCAAGGTTAATAATCCCTTTTACCTTTGTCCCTGGACGGGTGGCAGCCTATTTAGCCGATCGCCATGGAGACCCCCGGACAGAAGCGGCCTAGCCTCAGCATCAACTCGCCCCTGACCCCGAGCCGCATCACACGGCTGCAAGAGAAGGAGGACCTGTGCAACCTCAACGACCGGCTGGCCGTCTACATCGACAAGATGCGCTCCCTGGAGCTGGAGAACGCGGGGCTGCGCATGCGTGTCTCCGAGTCGGAGACGGAGGTCGGCCGCCAGCTGTCCGGCGTGAAGGCCGCCTACGAGACCGAGCTGGCCGACGCCCGCAAGTCGCTGGACTCGGTAGCCAAAGAACGCGCCCGGCTGCAGCTGGAGCTGGGCAAGGTGCAGGGCGACTACATGGAGCTCAAGGCCAGGTAGGCCCCTCTCTGCGTCTGCTTCTCCTGTTCGACCTCCTAATCAAAGATGAATTTTGGGCTCCCTCCTGTCTGTGTGCGCTTGCAGTCCTGGTTCAGCTTGAGTGCCATGCAGAAACAGCTCTAAATCTCATTTTTTAAACTTTTTTTTTTGATTCCACACAGAAGTTGTCAGGGCAGCTCCTTTATTCGCCATTGATCCACAGTATCCCACAAAGTTTACTGTTCCCCGATCGCGTCTTATCACGCACACTTCCCGGGGTCGGTACTGCGGGGCTGTAGGCAGGGCTCTGTCAGCCAGCTGTAGGCATCTCCTGACAAATCGACGGACGCAGAGGCCACCAAAATAAGCTGTTTAGGAAAGTCGAGGAACAGCAAGACCGGAAACCCAAGGCCCCCCCGGCGATATTTTCGGAAGATGAATTGAGGGTTCAGATTATTTGTGCCAATGTTTTTGGGAAGATCAGGTGAGAGTTGAGTTAGCTTACTGTATTCTACCAGTATATCTCTTCTCATGGTCTCTTCAAGGACTAGTAAATTTAATAGCTTGATTGTAACCTGAAGCTCTCTGATGGCATCTAGTTGCATTAACTCGTGGATGAACGTGTTCCTGTTTATATGCCTCGCCTGCACTCAGGTATGTTGTACAGTATGGCGTTTTTCAACCAAAACCCGTCCAGGGCTGCATACTTGTTTGGCTTTTACTTTTACTTCACATTAGTATCGGTCTTTTCAGCACATTATAGTGCAATTTACAGAATATACAGTGCTGGTATTTTGGTAACATTTTGATCCAGTTCCGTTTTGAATCGTGTGTTCTCGACACTTCCCACCTGCTCTGTGGTGGCGCACGCTGATGCTGGGGAAAACCACAGTGACACGGGGACCCGCCCTACTCACTACTCTGGGTCTTGGTCATTGGCGTGCAAGCTTGTGTGACTCGCTCTGTTTGGTTGGCATGGCAACCCGGCACCTTGTCTGTCAAAGAGTCACAGATTCAATTGTTGTCAGGCTTTTCATTAATGCGGGTGCCAAGTTTTCTTGTAGATGGGTGTGCCGCCACTGTACAGGGAGTTCTGGTCCCATTTGGGGACTGGCTCATTCAAGCGCATTCAGCCCAAGGCACTATGACATTTTCAGTTAGCTTGGTGAGTTCATTCTTGCTAATTGCTAATTGCTAATGGGGAGCTGTTCACCTTGGTATGTTTAGCGTGTTCCACTTAAGGAAGGGGTTCTCCCTCCAAAAAAAAATGTTCGTCTGACTTTTTTTTTTTTGGCTACTGAAAACTCTACGACCTATTTTTGGAGCTGTTCTGATGCCAGTGACGTTTTCTTTGTGCTTTTTGAAGCTATCAAAGGGAACTCCAAAGGAAGTCTCCCTGTCACCACGTTTGACCACATGATCTCCACGCCTGCTGCTCACTCAGACTGCTCTGGCCTCATCTATGTCTCTTGCTGTGTTTTACACCTGCCGGCATCCCTTTTAATTCAAGAATTTGAATTTTCTGCCATAAAATATACATTGAATTACAGATTTCCTCACCGGAGATTATCATTTAAATTTCAGTGGCTACATTTCAGCTGTTAATTATTGTAAGATTCCCAGATGCAAAGTAGATTTCCTGTGAATAAGAAGACGGCCTCGTCGTCCCTTAGGTTATGAAAAAATCTGCTGGGGCTGTATCGCGTTTGTTCGGTGTGGGGGCGCAGGGTCACGGTAATTCTTGATTTTAGTGGCTTTTTTAAATTCAGATTCTTGGGCATCCCGAAATCCCCGAGGGGAACTCCTGATGCCGTGTGGGCGTGTTTGGAAGCTGCAGCCACACCCCTGCTGCTTTACTGGGACTGTGATTGGTGCATTTCAGTATGGGGGCGGACCCCGCCATCACACTCATCATCCCTGTGGCTGAGTTGTGGTTGGGGGAAGCCCCAGCTGCAGGGGTTGGTTTCGCCGCAGTGACGTCAGCAGAATGTCCAGTTTGAGACCATCAAAGATGGCAGCGTGGTTCTTATGGTAGCAAGTCATCTAGTACTGACTTGTGGGGGATGTGCGACAGTGATAAAGGTGGGGGGCAGTGGTGTCAGTGTCAAGAAAATATTGCCTTCTCATGATACACATTGTGCTCTGCGATGTTACTGGCTGGTTAGGAGGGGTCTTGGGGTGTCTGTGCGCATGTGTAACAAGGCTAGGTCAGAATTTCCATGGAACTCTGATACATCTTGGGCAAAGCCAAGCTCCATGACTCACTCCACCCCTCTTGGGGTAATTTACTTTACGAGGCACAGAAGTGAGGCCCAAGAAGCAGTTTTCTGGACGTGGCGTTCCTTCCTGGTAGTATTCAAATGTTTTGTTTACTGCAATTAATCCTCCAACAAAACAAAATAGCCAATGACTGCCCAACTCAAGGTCTTTGGCAGAAGCACTGGGTCTGCCTCTGAGGGCGTGGCTTATCTCCTACTGCTCATACTAGCGCCGCTGGTGCTCACGTGGCGTAGCGTGAGAGAACAACCTCTGGTTGTAACCACACTGGCTGGTACTTCTCCAGACCCAGGACGCACACACACGTTCTCAACTTAGAGGCCTCTAATTCAGAGCATCTGGATGCATTCAAGAGCTTGAAATTCCAGAATATGTGTATGATTAGAGCAGATGCCAAACAAACATCTCCAGAGGCTGCTCCTTTGTTTCCACTCGGATCAGTTGTGTGGGACTTAATGCATTTGAGAACCGAAGGGCTTTGCCGACGTCTCCCGATATGCATGAACTCCTTATTCTCATTCACGGCCAAAATGTCCTGCTCTGTGTCATCAAGGGGAGCGGATTCTCGATTAATCGCACCGGTTGGGAGCCGCAAGATGGCGCAAGAGCAGTTTTCGGTTTCCTCAAACTCGTGGCCATACGTTCCTAATCCCATCTCCTGTGCATTGCTTTTCGTAGCCTTTCATATCAGGGCTGGTAAGTTAATGGGCCGCAGTGCTTAGCACTGAGTTTACCACAGAGACGGAGAGCTCATAGCAGGTAGATGAATCACACACTTCCTGATGGTGAAGGGCCACACCCAGCCTTCCCCTGCTAGCTTCCGCATGCTGCTGAAAGGCACAGTAATCCCTTTATTGGGAGGGTGACGTCCTCCAGACTTCGCTGCGGGTGTCCCTTTCCTGCTGCTCATGTTTAACAACTTTACTAGTGGTTTTCAGACATTAATGGTGCTCTAGAAACTTAGCTCACGGTGGCAGTTTCAGGAGATGAGCAGTGAAGATGTGCAACATGAACACTGAAAGACAAGCCTGTAGTCTGTATTTGTGGGTCTTCCCTCAATCTTGGGGAAGGCCTCAACTGAGCCTCTTCACTGCCATTCAGACTCCATTACCGGGCCCTCAATTCCCCCCCCCCCCCCCCCCATCACCCCTGTATGAAGCGGAGGGATGTAGCATAGCATATATGTTAAATGTAGCATATATTAGCCTGACAAGAGCGTAAACGAAATCTGGGAAGACGTGCGTGTCTTTGACCTGCCTGAAACTGCACCGAACCGCTTCATGTAAAAGGCCAGAACCGCTTCATTCTGCCAGTCCCACGAGGCCCAACGCCCGCTATTGTTCCACAATATTTTGGGAAGGATGTCGCTTTTGTTGTAGCCTTTGTGTTAGTGGCATCGTCGATGTGGTTCCAGTAGTGTGGTTGACATTAGTGTCGCAATGTCAGATCCTGCAGGTGTGGCGCTCGGCTGAAGGGGCAGTATGACAGCAGCTTGCCAAACGACGCCACCCTTTGTTGCATAAATATGAATCCTAACGCTTTGTAAATTTTTCTGACGTTGGTGTTCAGGCAGGCTCCGCAAGGATCTGCAGCTTCAGGGCTAATTGTTGATTGAGTAATTATGTCCCGCTTTGGCCAGACTGGTTCCAAACCCTGTCAGTGTGCTTGGTGGGTGGCTGAGCAGCTAGTTTATCTTGGACCCTCAGAATTTTATGCCTTTTCTAGTCTGAGTACTGAGGGGATCTTACATTCCTTTCTGCTTATGTCTACTGACTTCTTCCGCTTGTGCTGTGTTGTTGTGAATGTATATGTAAAGCTGTCTTTGGCGACATGTTGGCTCAGTCCGTCCATCCATCCATCCATCCATTTTATGCCGTGAATCCGGGGCTGTGTTGCGGGGACAGCAGGGACACCCAGACCTCCCTCTCCTTCCCTTTGCAGAGGTGTTTTATGAAAACTCAACTGTTGACAAGGTCCAAATTATTAAAGGACTGTTTGGAAAAATTAGATTTTTGGTCACTGTATCCATATGTATCCATAAATTTGAATCTATATCTTTTTTCCCCAGCTAGTTTATCTGCAAACAGGAAGGAAATAATATTGAGGTGTAAACAGGGTGTTGGAGCTCAGATTGGCCATTTAGTGGAAGTTTTCAGTCTCCCAACACCAATGGCGCCCCTACCCAGTGGATTTAGGTGTCAGGAATGGAAGAGGCCGTCAGAGACGAAGTTCTATTTCTGTCTGGTCATTCTGCTCCAGGCAGGACCTTTCTGAATGCAGGGGCCCCTGTTTTTCCACCAGTATATTTTAGCACCACAGCTCCGGGGTCATGCTGGCATTCCCCGGGAACCTCCTTTCAGGGTGGTCCGGTGAATGTGCCCCATGTGGACGGTGGCTGAGTGCAGAGGAAGATGACAGATTGTCTGAAGGACCCCCCCCCCAACCCCCGGATGGTGCTGGAGGAAGGATGATGGTGTGCGTCTGTCTCTCTGTCTTTTGTGACTCACCCTGCATCTTGACTTTGTATCTTTTATTAGTCCTTGTGTGTCTGTCATGTTTGTGTGGGTGTTTCTCTGTGACCTTCCACTCTTAATTACTTCAAATTGATTTAGTTAAAATTAAATTTAGTTAAATTTAAGGCAGTAGTGCGATCCTCATGTCCTTTTTAATCGTGCTCATTCGTACAGTAAGATTGTGTTTCCTTTGCTGTACTGGGTTCCCCGACACGCCCAGTTCGCTGTCTTGTTCGGTCTGTTTGCTCTGAATGGCCACCCAGTAAGCAGTTGTAGCTTCTGTATCAGCCAGGATATTGGGCGTGTCTTTGGATAAAGCGGGGGATATCCGTCCGTGATCTGCTGCTGCTGGGATTCGTGGCTTGTCTTGTGTGAGGTGCCCTGCGTTGACAAAAATGGCAAATGCTTTTCTTTTTTTTTTTTTTCTTTGGGTGGAGTTACCTTGAATGCTGCGAGAGAGCAGGTTTCTTACTGCTGGGCTGCTAGTGGGGCTATAAACCTGTGTGGACAGTCAGTGTTTCACAGCATAACCCCCCCGGTGACTCATGTGCTCCACCATCCCTTTTTTATATTTACAGCAAGTAGCTGTATGTGTGGAATTCCACTCACCCGCTCCAATTATTCCCCCTGAAAGTAGCACGAGAGGCCATATTTGCCGTACACGGCTGGAAAGGCATCGTCCCCGTTTCCATGGCAGCGCCACAGCAAAACAGCTAGACTTCTGTTGGCTTGTGGTTTCCATGGTTGCTGTGGCGATTGACGAAGATAGATGTGAGTCATACAAGGCTGGAAATTCAGATGCGGCATCCCCAGTTTCATTTATTCCTTTTTCTTTTTTAAACATCCTTTTCCCTGTGTTTTTACGTCACGGGGTACTTATCTTGTTGCCACAGCAACCAGAGTTGTAGATTATACAGTGAAGAGGCCCACGTGTTTGGTGTGTCTGCTATTGATTGTTATTAGTATTACTGCTTCACAACAAAAAAAAAAAGATAAAAGAATTGCAGTTACTGTATTGAGTTTTTCTTTGCAGCTTTCGTTCACCCTTGAATTTAACTGGATATTTTACTGGGCTGGTACCTTGTTTGTGCTCCTTTAACGCCACCTGGGAGCTTTAGAGCAACATATTCAGCACCATCTTAACTGTAGACTATCAAGTGTTTTGTTTTAATTTTCCTCTTTCTTGTTCTGTTTCTGTATTAAATGCACACAGCAGTTTCTGCCATCTGTCTCTCTATCCATCATCCACAATGCTTGTCCAGTACAGGGCCACAGAGAGCCTGGAGCCTATCCCAGGAGACGAGGGACACCCTCAGCGGGATGCCAGCCAATCACAGGGCGCACACACCCTAACCAACTATAGAGAGGTGCCCAATCAGCCCTCAGAGACATGAGGCTGGAGAACTTACTGCTTTGCTGCAGTAAATTGTTTTTTTTGATGTTTCTTAGAATCTTGCATTGCGCCGGGCCCTGGTTTCATTAGCCAGGGATGCTTATCCCACAGGATTAATTCTCAGACTGGGTGTGACTGCGCTGTACCGCTAGGCTGAGTGCTGGCTGCGCCTTACGCCTGCGCCACTCTGCCGCGGTCTCCCCGTGATTTGCCGCGACTTGTTAAGAGCGTCTCCCTGCCTTCCTTGGGATGAATCGCGCATCTTGCCGTGTGTCCGTTTGGGCACACCCTGCCGTTTGCTCGGCGACGCCCTTGCACATGCTCCCTGCCGTTTGCGGCCTGTGTAATTGTCCATTGGCTGCTCGTGGCAGGATACGACGGGTTTGAAATGTAAACATGTGTTGGGGGGGGCTTTGTGTAGAGAACGTGTGCAGAAGACTTGCAGGTTTGCAGTTCTTTCTTTTCGGCTCATATTTACTTTAATAGAATGATGCCTCCCCTGAACTCGGCAAGACTCAATACTGATAAATATTTTTATTGCTTTAAGCCATCAACCGTTTTTGTCGTTCGCACAATGCTCTACTTGTTGAGCTATCAAGTATTTGTTATTTTAAGAAGCAGAAGACCCAACGCTGTGCCGTCCAAGTCTGCCCACTTGTGTACGCACGCCTCCCCTCGCTGCTGGGCTTGGTGGCTTTAATCTGGATAAAACTGGCACTGTTCACATGCCCTTAATAACTGGCCTCCATTCCGTGGTCTGGTGCTGGATCCTGGCCACAAAGCCTATTAGCGAGTTGCCCCGGAGCCTGGAGAAAAGGCTGTCGTGGAGACCGCCGTAGCCGGAGGCGTAGTTCGGTCCGGAGGTGCAGGATGGCATTCCTGACGGGGCTTGTTTACACCTGCCCTGCCCATGCCTGCTGTTCTGCAGAACAGGTCAAAGGTGTGGTCAGCCTTCAGGAATGCAGTGCTGCATGCCTGCCTAAACCTCAGTATGCATTTCTCACGAGCCTGACGTCTCAAGCCATTACTTGCCGTAGCTGTTCCGTCGTCCACACGCCTGCTGCCAAAGCAGGTCATTTTGCAATTATGAGTGGCTCCCTCTTTCGCGATTAAAATGACACCTTTTCCCAGATTGAGCGGAGGAATCGTTTGCCATTTCCCCCTGGGTGCTTTGAGTAAAGCGTCACTTCAGCTGGAGGGCACCCAGCCTTGTGTCAGCCTCCGTCTGTTGACTGTATTTATCTTAAGACGCAAGTCTAAAAATATCTCATTTCTAATGGATCTGCATGTGTGTTTTTGGGTGTGTTCTAGTGCAATGATGTGATTACACCTTTGGCAGAATAAGGAGGACGGTATCATAGATCATTTGATACTTTATCTATCCCTGCAGGGAAATTCTCTTTTCACCTAATCCATCTTGCTGTCCATGAGACACACATACAGGTGAAAGCAAACTTGGGGGGGGGGGGGGGGGTACAGGGCAGGGTCAGCCAACATTCAGCACCCCTGAAGCTGGGGGGGGGGGGTTAAAGGCTCAATGGCAGCATTAGTTTAACAGCCCTGGGCTTCAAACTAGCAACCTTCCGATGACGGGCACAGATTCCTAACCTGCTGAGCCACGCACTCGCTTAGGCAGCCTGGAAGTGATCTTGATGACAGATGGACAGCGTCACTGTCGATGCAGCCCACACTGTGGACGCCATAAAGGCTTTGCGGCACCAAGTCCTGCTTCCGCTAAGATGACCGATTTGTCTAGATGCTTAGTGTCCACTAGATTTGTCGTGCTCTCTCATTGGCTGGGACCGGTCTGGGACTTTCAGTTTTCTAAAGGAAGTGCGAGTGGCTACAGACAGTTTTAAATGTGTTTCATCTTCCGCTAAAGTGGATGTAAGCATGAACTAACTACTCTAAATGGGGGAAGAGGGGAGAATCTGCCAGAGGTTTATGGGTAAATGAAACCTTTTCAGATTTCATGGAGAAGGGCTTTTTTTAGGATCAGTCCTTATATCCATCATGTTAGAGCGTCACTAGCCACTGCGTCCTATGGCAAGATATGGTGGCCAAAAGATGCACATGAGCACCTCCTGCTGGTCAGACTGTTTGGGCAGCTTGGGACAGTTGGGTGTGCTGTTCCTCTGCCCCAGTCCTCCAAGGTTGCAGTGGGTTCAGTCTTTCCAGCTCTCATGCTGAGCTCTCAAATTGGTTCAATTGTCAAAATAATGCGGTGGAGCGCACGGGCAGATTGGAGATCTGCTTGCGGTGCGGCCCGCCAGCACCGGGGCTGAGAACAAATGGCTCTGTGGTTTCATGCGACGTGTATCCAACCCCACAGGAACACCAAGAAAGAGGCGGACTTGGCGGCAGCCCTGGCCCGGCTGAAGGACCTGGAGGCCCTGCTCAACGCCAAGGAAGCGTCCCTGAGCACCGCCCTGGGGGAGAAGCGCAGCCTGGAGGCCGAAGTTCGTGACCTGAAGCCGCAGCTGTCCAAGGTGACCCAACATCCTGAACCGCTCGTCATTTTTTTGGTGTTTTACTGGCATCTGCTGTGCAGCAACAAAACGAATGTTGGCAGAGCTGAGCGCTTATGAAACGGACATTACAGCTGCTTCATTAACTGCTCTGTGCCTTTTGAGATCTTATCTTTTAATGCTGGTTAAAGTAGTTGGCTCATATCGCGACACGTGAGAGGCAGGATTGATCGTGAGTAGGAATAAAGCCAGCAGGTTGTTGTGGTTTTGGCATAGCCATGAATCTATGTATCAAGCACTTGGTCACCTTGTCACTGTTTTCCTGTTCAGTGAGTTGGGGAATAATCCAGTGAAAATTATTTCATGATTACTTAATAGTGACACGAGCCCGCCACCACATGGTCACTTATGGAACTGCATCTATTTTTTTTCTGAGCTGCAGTGCTTCTTTTACCATATTCAGCAAATTATTGCCGCGAGATTGAAAACCAGAAGAGTAACCGAATTACAGCTGTGGTTTTCAGTAATACAGTCACACAAACATGAAAGGTGACAAAGGTCTGTCATTTGGTACGAGTAAGTCCTGCAACGGGTAACCTAGACAACCATATCTCGTCTTTTTAGTGTGCGCTAGCTACCACGTGTATGTGTGTGTGTGTGTGTGTGTGTGTGCGTGTGTGTGGCCCACTGACAACCTACCCTGGAATGTTGCCATGGCAGCTGGAGGGGAGCCTGAACGATACTAAGAAGCAGTTGCAGAATGAAATGCTGATGAGGGTGAATGCGGAGAACAAAATGCAGACCCTGAAAGAGGAGCTGGAGTTCCAGAAGAACATCTACAGCGAGGTGAGACACGACACCTACACCTGCCTGCGTTTTGGTCTTTAGAAACTTCCAGGCAGTAAGCTGGCAGCAATAGGGCAGTTGACGCACGATTTGGATAGCCCGCAGTCTGGCGAGTGGCGGTGAGCGTGGGTTTGCTGTTGCGGCTTCCAGACGGCGCGGCGCTCACGTACAACGCTTCTCGCCGCCCCCTTTTTCCTCCAGGAGCTTCGGGAGACCAAGAGGCGACACGAGAATCGCATGGTGGAAGTAGACAGCGGCCGGCAGAGCGACTACGAGAGCAAGCTGGCGCTGGCCCTGGCAGAGATGCGGGAGCAGCACGAGGAGCAGTTGAAGATGTACAAGTCAGATATCGAGAAGACGTACAACTCCAAGGTGGGCGACGGTGTGGGGGGGGTGTCGAGCCGGCGAGTGCATGAGAGATGGGTCACATGCGATTTCAGAAAAGCACGCCATGCAGCAGCGTTCACACCCTGGCAAACACGGGCTCCGCGCAGAGAACAGTGAGCCTCGTGAAAGAGCAGTGCGAGCGGCTCTTTACACCAACTGTGTACACCTGTCTCCATGCCAGCTGGAGAACGCACGCCTGTCGGCCAACCGAAACACCCTCCTGGTGGGCTCGGCGCATGAGGAGCTGCAGCAGACACGCATGCGGCTGGAGACCATGTCTGGCCAGCTCAGCCAGCTGCAGAAGCAGGTAGGACGCCCCCCTGTGGTGCACTGTTGCCATTACGCCGCCAAAGCACTTCATTCCAAAATTTGGCCACTTTCCCTGAACACCCCTTCTGTTCGTAGTTCATAAACTTTTCTCCCGACAGTCAGAGTCTGGTCTTTGGCATTCATGTTGACCTGTGTGTATGGTTGAAATAATCATTTTGGTGCTTAATCTGCCTTTAAGCTGTATCGCTGAAAGAACATTCTAGAGCCAAGGAGGGGCTCTTGAGGAGGAAAGCAGTGAAGTTTCTCAAAGCTCATTAAGCACCCCTCTGACCCCCCCCCCCCAAACCCCACCCAGCTGGCGGCTACTGAAGCCAAGGTTCGAGAGCTGGAGGAGGTGCTGTCCCTGGAGAGAGATAGCAAACGGCGCCTCCTGGGGGAGAAGGAGCGCGAGATGGCAAACATGCGCCAGCGCATGCAGGAGCAGTTGGACGAGTACCAGGAGCTGCTGGACATCAAGCTGGCCCTGGACATGGAGATCTGTGCCTACAGGAAGCTGCTGGAGGGTGAAGAGGAGAGGTGAAAGACACGCGCGCACACACACACACACACACATATACACACACACACATATACACACACACACACACACTGGGGCACTGTGGCCTACCTGGATGGGGATGTGCACAGCCTGGCAGACATTGATTACACTCAGTCACACACACACACGCGCGCACACACAGTGAACTGCCTGTCGCTGATAATTGCTTGCCGTACAATGTCTCGCACATAAACACCATTATCTCAATGTCACTGAATTTAGAGAAGGAAATGTTTGCCCTGTAAGAGGATGATTAAGCAGTTTGTAGTTTATTCATTCGGCGCTCATACCCTGCAGGGTATTTCATGTGCTACGTAATTCTTATTAGTCTGTTCATTGAGACACAAAAGCTTAAAGAAACGAACAAGCTACACAGTAAGTTGTCTAACTACCATGGGCCATGTGTGTCTGCGTGTGTGTGTTTCTCAGTGTGTATCTGTGTCTGTTAGGGTGACCACCTACTCCATGTCAGGAGGGACACTATGAGCTACAACAAGGTTTTTAACTACCATGTCAACCATCCATATTAAAAGGACCCGGATTTCACTTAAGCACTGAGTTCTTGCTGCGTGCTGATTGGTCAGTCTCCTATAATCATGCATGAAACAGTTGGATGAGTCTTTCAATCAAGGAAAGAAACCACACAAGAACAGAACTATTTAGCCGAGCACAGTAGCCTGTCAGTTATAAAGTAGTTGGTAAAACTAGAAGTAGCTCATAGTGTCCCCCCGTCATGGATTAAGTGGGTCACCCCAGTGTCTGTAGGTGTGTCTTTGCTGATGATGGTGAATGCGGAGAACAAAATGCAGACCCTGAAAGAGGAGCTGGAGTTCCAGAAGAACTCTGTCCTTATTGGTTTTACACATACACACAGACATACAGTCACACAGAGTCGATTCTCAGTCTCGCTAATGCCTCTCTCACTGCCTACAGTCTAACATGCATCAATGTCCTTCTTTATACAGGTTGCAACTGTCCCCAAGCCCTTCACCAACGCCGGTCACTGTGACACGCAGCTCTACTTCCCGTGTGGCCCACTCTGGCTCTGCCCACTCTGGCTCTGCCCACTCTGGCTCTGTCAAGTCTGGGACCGCCCACTCTGGCTCCGCCCACTCTGGCTTTGTCAAGTCTGGCTCCGCCCACTCTGGCTCTGTCAAGTCTGGGACCGCCCACTCTGGCTCCGTCAAGTGTGGGACCGCCCACTGCAGTGCCACCATCTCCGCTGACCTTGCCATCCCCAGCGCCGTCACCTCCAGTAGCCAGACCTCATCGGCCAAGAAACGCCGTCTGAACGACACGGACAGCGAGGCCTCCAGCACGGTGGGGGGGGCCGTGACACACACCCGCATCTCCCAAAAGGCCTCCGCCAGCGGCCGCGTCACTGTGGACGAGGTGGACCTGGAGGGGAAGTTTGTGCGGCTGAGCAACAAGGCCGACCAGGTGAGGGCCGTGCGGTGCGCTGAGGCTGCTCGATTAATAATGCCTGGTCCTCAGTCAGTTATCGTTTAATTGCTGAATCCTGGCATGCCTCCATGATGCCCCAAATCATCAGGCTTCCCAAAGACGCCTTCCTTGTTGTGATGGTCGAGTCCATCCATCTTCTCATAATATTCCCGAAAATTGAAGTGAATGTTCAGACTCGATTTGATGAGAACTCCATTTGTCTGTTTTCCTTGTGGTACCACAGTCTTATGTCTTCATTGACACCGACGTTTAAAGGCATCAGTTTTCTTAACTGAGAAATATTTGGACAGCTTGTCTTGCTGTGAAGGAATTTTGGTTTATTCTTATTTTTGATTTCCCCCCCAGGATCAGCCTCTAGGTAACTGGCTGGTGAAGAGGCAGGTGCACCGCCAAGCAGTTCAAACCTACAAGTTCCCCTCCAAGTTCATTCTGAAGGCTGGTGCGACCGTTACGGTAAGGCCTGCTCTGAGCCAGTGCTGCTGTACTGCAGGTAGTGCTGGCTCCCGTTATTAAGATGTGCCCATTGTTGCCTCAAGTTTTTCTGCTTCTAACTATTTTCTGTTTCTGTCCCTTTGGGTCTCTCTTTGTACAGATTTGGGCAGCTGGGTCTGGTGCCATCGACAAACCTCCTTCTGACCTGGTGTGGAAGGCTGAGAACTCGTGGAAGACTGGAGACGAGTTCCAGACCACCCTGTTCAGCTCCAGTGGGAAGGTGCGTGCTGCCCTCGTCCGGTCCCGCGTCCCCTACGCCCTCGTCCGGTCCCGCGTCCCCTACGCCCTCGTCCGGTCCCGCGTCCCCTACGCCCTCGTCCGGTCCCGCGTCCCCTACGCCCTCGGCCGGTCCCGCGTCCCCTACGCCCTCGTCCGGTCCCGCGTCCCCTACGCCCTCGGCCGGTCCCTTTTTTACATAAATTAAGTGTTGGGATGGCACACACCCCCTAGCCTGTGGGATAGACCCCCTGTGCGGCGCTTCATCCTCATTACTGATAGGAGCCCCAGTAGCTCATGTAGCACAAGCAGAACGTTTGTCAGAATGTCGTCTTGGATACGTGACGCCGATTGCGAGCTGAACTGGGTTTTCCTGCTTTCTTAAATTCAGGAGATGGCGATGAGAATGGTCAGCCGGAGACTACTGCAGGACGACGACGGCGGTCATGATGTCGTAGGGAAAGACGTAAGCGCAGCGGCTTATAGTGACTAGTTGTGAACATGCATTTCTTATATGGATTCTTCTGTCTGTTGGTCAGTGGCTTACTTAGCCGCTGAGGTGATTTGTCGCCCCCTGCAGGCAGCTCACAGCACTGCTGTTGATAACGAGTACAACCTCCGCAACCGTACTGTGGTCTGCACCTCGTGCGGCCATTCGACTGGCGGCCATGGCGGCCATGGTGGCCCCGGCTCCAATGTGACCATCTCCCGCTCCTTCCTCAGTGAGGGTGGGGGCCTTCCTGAGGGGCTGGTGCCCCGTTCCCTCGTGGTGGTGGGCAACAATTCAGCCCGGCAGGTGAGTGAAGGGTTTGGCTGCCGCCTCACTCACAGCTGCTGGGAGTGATCAGCCCTGTGTGTGTGTGTGTATGTGTGTGTGTGTGTGTGTGTGTGTGCGTGTGCGTGCACACCCATGTGTCTGACCTGTAAATAGGCAGAAGCAGAGATGAAACAGGTCTGGCTGTAGTGCAGGGGTAGGGCGGAGTCATGTTTCCTTGTGGAACCCCGGCAGTCCGCGATTTTGTTCCCTCCCAGCTCTAAGCACACCTGTACCAGGTATTGATTGGCTGGGAGCTGGGAAGGACTGTGCTGGTGTTAAAGTAGAGCAATTTCCCCACACAGAGCCGCACATGCATTAAAGCCGTCGTCCTGCATGTTGCCCACCATGTCTTTTAGGATTCTTTTTTCACTTCCCTTTCAAATGTCTGTGTCTCCCCCCCACAGAGCTCCCCCAGAGCAGACAGCTGCTCCGTCATGTGACCACGTGGGAGGCCATTCTGCTGGTCCGGGCTGCTGTGACCCTCGGCTGCGGAAGGTTTTCTCTCCAAACAAACGAAAATTAAAAACAAAAAAAAAACAGGGGTTTTTCTTTTACACGTAACATTTTGTTTTGGGTGTGGGGTATAATAAGCTATAGTCCCAGCTTTGTGTGTTACCACTTACTTTGTTTATTTTGACTGAGCGGGGGGGAGGGGGGGACGTTAGGCCTGTCTGGGCTGCTGCAGTCTGACCCACCTCTGGTCCACTTTTCCTTCTTGGCTGTCATCAGTGAACACGCACAGCTCATGAGCCCCCAGCAGGGGGTGTCAGACTGCCGCAGGCCAGGCTCTTCCTGTACCTGCCATCATTATTCCTGATGGGATCTCCAGTTTGCCGTGACTCTGTTATTACACTGGTTATGATAACCAGTATGGTTAGTCTGGTTAGAGGTGGCAGTGCGGCTGACGAGGGGTCAGAGGAGAACTGGACAGCCACGTTTGAGGGCCCCTGCTTTGTGAATGCGCGTGTATAGCCCCTCAGATCACCATACCCTACCTGAGAGAGAACCTGCAATTTTTGTTACTGCTCTGCTTGGGATGGTCTGTGAGGGCAGGTTAGCTGATTAAAAGAAAAGTTTATATAAGATGTGAAAAATAATTAAATTCAGATTAGATTTGAAAGTTTGAAAATGCTAGCCTTTGTTACTCATGATGTGATTTTCGTTTCTGTGATATTAGGGCAGCTGGTACCGAGACAGTTAGAAAATGGTTGGGCTTTACTCATGGTTTGTTTTAAGTTTTAAAGGAACTGAGCTCAGGTATTTTTATTATTATTTTTTAATTATTTCGAAGTGTTGGCTTTATTAAGAAGGGGTTACAGGTCATGATGAAGTTACTTGGATGTGCAGTTTGGCAGAATGTTGGGTAGATTTCATTTTGCTGGACATTATGGAGCATATGATGTGTCGATGTCATCGTTTTATTTCCTGCAAATTAATGTGGAGCAACTGCCAGTTATGCTATCAGTGTTGAAAAATATTTGTGTAGTTTTTTTTTTTTTTTTTTTTTTTAAAGGGCTTCTTGCCAATTAAAACTAAATACCTGCTGTACTGCCAAAGCGACAGAAATGGCTCAGTGACCATCTAACGAATCGTGGCCTAATTGTCAGAGGTACTTCATTATTGTATGAAGCACTTGTTGAACTCTTGATGTGCCTTAAAGTGTTTAATTCCTAAGCAGCAGACCAAAGATCAGGGTAACTCCATAAAGCAGTGATCCCCAGTGACCATGCCCTGAGCGCAGTGCTCTGTGACCCCCAAACGCTCACCGCACTGATACACTGTGACATTTCACACCACTGGGCATTTCGCTTCCTGCTCAGCCTCCTCACAGCGCCGCCCATGTCCCTCTCTCTCCTTCTAATGTGTCGCTAGGCTATTCGGAAAATGCCAGTCACGACTTGCTCGCTCGCTTGTAGGAAAGGTACGTGTGTGTCCGTGGGAAAGGGGGGGGGGGGTTCGGGGGCTGTATTTAGTACTGAAGTTTGTCTGATTTTTAAAGCCCACCCCCCATATCATGCTAAAAATGGTGCTTTATGAAAATTTTGTATTTACGCCTCACAAAAAAAATATTTTCAACACCCCATGGTGTTATAACTCATTATAATAAACTTGTAGAAAGTAAATTTTTTTTTGTATTACTGTTTTATATGAAAATGCAGATGCCTGCTTGAGAAAACAAATTACTAGAAAAATGAAATGTCGGCCGATAGCAGCATCCCTGCTCTTTAGGGAAAAAATGAAGGCAAAATTTATTTTGGGTTATCAGTCACAGCTTATTGTAAAATGCTGCCTGTAGCATAAACCACAGAGTCTCTGTTTGCTGGGACAGTGTTCTGCTGCATACCCACCATCGGCCACATGGGGCAGCAGATCCCAGACTCACCTGATTTCCTACAGTACTTGTATGTTAATGTGGGTATCATCAGAGAGTCAAAAAGCCCAGTTGCTTCCCCAATTGTAATAATAATGATGATGAAAAATACAAGATGGTAAGTAGAGCTGTGTTTGTTATGCAGTACTGCTACTGCAACATAATGGAAATTATATTAACGTTTGTGCCATTAAATCAAGGGGAGACGTTTTTGTACCTACAAAGAAATTTGACCTGCAAACTCAGCACTTATTGCCGACAGCTTCTGGGCTACATGCATTATTTTCTGTTCACAAGAAAATGCTGTTACTGATATCTGTGATTTTCTAAATAAACCTCTTTCATAAACCATGTTCTGCGTTTTTACCTTACAAACCCTGTATTGTATTTGTACGCCATATGGGGGCGGGGCTTTTTTTTTTTAAGTGCATTCAACAAAATAAGGGGGGTGTCAAGTAAAATGTTTATTTACATTATATACAATGTGAATGTTTACAGGCACTGTGCTGTGAAGCTATAACCATGTGATAATTCTCAAAAAGTGTGGAAACCCATAAAGAAGAGAGATGAGTGCGGTTCACATGTCGAAGTCTTGGGTGCTTCCACAGTCAGTGGAGTTCAGTGTACCTGCTTTGTTCAACCACTTGAGGGCGAGCTTTCCTTCCCCACCTGAACGTGTGTCGGCTACAGTCAAGCCAGAGCACAGAGTCAGGTCTTTTCAAGGGTGGGTTCGAAATACTAGGGAAGGCATGCAAACTGCTCATGGGACAAGGCACCGTGTGGCTCTGTGTTAGGATGCTGGGGCGGGGGGAGGGGGGGTGGCTCTGTGAGTTAGCACTCTGCGCCTGTGCTCAGAAGGTCACCAGCTGAAATCCTGAGGCTGGCATGAGTGATTTCACAGTTTGTGCCAGTCGTTCCAGGGACACTGGTTGACCTGCCCTTGTGCGTCACTTTGGACAAAAGCATCAGCTAAATGTAGGGTTTGGCCACTCAAACCAGCAACTCTTGTTCATTTTAAAGGTCATTTAGCCTCCCGGCACCTTTGTAGCCATTACTTGAATCCACAGAGTAGAGAAAAAGTCTAACTTTGATAAAAAAAAAAATATATACATCTTCACAATATTGAGTAAAGCAGTGTTTCTCAAAGCAGTCTTTGGGAACAAAAATGTAGACTCTTTGGCAGGGCTCTGGGAGAGAGCTAAAATGTGGACCATCTGCGGATCCCCGAGGATCAGATTCAGAAACACTGCAGTGAAGCAGCATAATAGAATAGTGTTGGAATGTGCAGATCACGTGATGATGGGAAGAAGTCGTCCTCCATGTTGCCACAAGGTGGCAGTAGTGTCACACTGGCGTAATCATTCTGCTGCTGTTCTGTGTTCGCCCCAGATGTGTCAGTGGGGGACTGTCTGTGGCGAGGGGGAGGGTGGACGGCGGATGGGCGGCAGGTCGTAGTGTCCAGGTATGTGACTGTTAATAGGGAGGTCATAATGATTCTGGAATGGTTCCTGTTCGGGGACGTCGGAGAGGGAGCAGCATTCTGAGGTGTGGGGGAAAAAAACATCAAAAGGAATGATTAGAACCTGGAAAGGCATTTAGTGCAATTTCGAAAGCTACATTCAAACAACCTTCCCCAGACAAAAGGATGTGAGAGACCTTCCTGTCCTTTTTTCCTTCTCATCCTGTTTTAAAAACCTTTGTTTTCTCGTTTCACAGGAAAACCCCGTCAGTCACCACTGGTCCCTTCACACACACACTGACTTCTGATTGAAACTGGCTCCGGTCTCTTACCCCGGTGCATGGAGGGTGGGGGTGGGGGTGGGGGTGGCGACGGCAGGCGCATGTCAACGTGGGGCCGCTCCTGACGGGTGTAGGACGCCATCTCCATGTAGCTGCTCTCCAGGGGGTGGGCCGGTGGGGCGGGGGGGTCTTTGATGGTGGCGTAGAGATTCTCACTATTCAGAGAGCTGTTGCTCACCGCGGAGTCCCTGGACAGGCCTGCTCAAGGAGGGGGGGGGGGGTAAGTCCCTTATTAATTTTCAGTTGAAATATGTGTTGACAGTGTTTTCTTGTTTGCTAATTAGGAGCATGGAAGAATTAAAGGTAACTATAGTAAATTCCAGGAGAATCAGGGTGTAGATGTGGGTATGGGATGTGGGTATGGATGGCAGGGACACGTTTCATACCTTTGTCATAGAGTTTGCCAAGGGTGGCGCTGTAACTATAGCTGCGGTCTATTCCGAAGGCTCCTGTGGACACACACGGAAAACACGGCTGTATTAGAGAGACGGGGGCTTGGTGGGGCGGTGTGGGGCAGAGGTGGCTAGATCAGGTCCAGAGAGTAAAAGTCCAGACCATGATTTTGTTCCAGCCAACCAGATGAGAATCACAGAGAATAAAGAATCACAGTCACAGGTTACTCAGCTGGCTGGTTGAAACAAAATCATGGTCTGGACTCTCTTGCATGCCTCTGGAGGGGGGTGCAGACATACCCTGGGCCTTATGGGACAGCGGCTCGTGGTGCTTCCAGCGGGCCGGCAGCGTGGCCACACTGTCCCCTCCCAGGGGCCTCAGCCGCTCTTTCTCCACATTCTTCCCACTGAAGAACAGCTGCTTGTTGGTGTTCTGTTGGGGGGGAGGTGGATGATGTCAGCCTGATGTGTGTGTGGCCAACACGTGTCACCATGGGCCCCCCCACCCCACCCTTCCAGGCCCGTGCATATGTGCAGCACCATCAATGCCAAAAAAAACACGTCCGTGATGGCACACGTCCGACTCCACAACCTGACCATCTCTCACGTGCTGTAACCTTGCCATGACCTTGCAATGATACTATATACCACTAGGGGGCTCCCCAGTGCTGTTTAGCAGTTGGATAACTTCAGAAAGCATATACTGCAACCTGATGTTATACCCATTACAAAAAACTTAAATTTATCAATTATTTTACTTATATATTTCTCTAGCATTTATTTATCTTTGCCTCTTTGCAAAAGAACTTGAGAATTTTTTGAAAAAAAAAAATACAGTAAGAGACAGAAGTCCTAATTGTACGTAACCAAGGTAACAAGCGCTGACATGAGGATAAACGTGATGGCAAAGGTGGCCCACCTACCTTGACGTAGCCGAGGGGGCGGTCTTGGTTGTTGGGAACGTGGGGCAGGGGGGGTTGGCTCTGAGACAGCGTGTGGTAGCTGGGGTTCGAGTAGTAGTGGTGGTAACCGATGGCGACGTCTGGAAGACAGGGGCCACGGTGACGCACACAGCTGCAAGTGTTCGGCTGCAGTCAAACACTGTGGTAATTCCCGCCAAATTCACCCGGGGCGACTTCAAACACATTCAGCAGAAATTCATCAGGCTGTGGAATTCCAGCACGCTGCCAGAGCAGCCAATATCAGCAGCGATCGCTGCTGGGGCTCTCGGGGACGGCGTCTGGGCGAAAATCAGCCGTCTCCCCCGGACCTCAAGACAACCTCATTCAGCTGCTTCAGGTTTAACAAAGGACTGTAGGAACTGCTGACTGGAACAGCAGGACCGTGATGTACAGAGCTGGGCCCGGTTCTGTTAAGGTTTAGTATCATTATTATGCTAATTTGAACTAATTAAGTCTCTTCAACTGAAGGTAACTCCTTTAGCAGAGGCTTTCATCCATGTACACATGAGAAACATAAAGAGACGGGGTGGGGGGTGGTGAGTGGCACAGTCCCTGTGCCCACAATCCAAAGGCTGCAGGTTCAATCCCCAGCCCCCACACCCTGGAGAACGAGGTGGAGGGAGCAAAGAAAAGCTTAAGTACAGTAATATTCTTGGGCATTTCACGAGTCCATATGAATTTCACCTACCTACTTCATTTTGCTCTTCATAGCACAAAATACACAGCACAGTCAGCCACCACCACACCTCTGCAGCTGAGAGACTTACCCAGGGACCCACAGCTGCTCTGTCCAGGCTAAGGATTGAACCAGCAACCTTTGGATCATGGGCACAGAGACTCAACCCACTGAGCCACTCTCCAGTATACCTCTACTTGTGTTTGAACATTTATAAAGCAAATCAGAATAACTGGGGGGAGGGGTCCTTGCTCGAGAGCCCAATAATGAGATCATATCATAGTGCCAACTATGGGGTTAGAACCCACAACCTTCTAATCACAGACACAGAGACTTAGCCCTCTGAGGCACTCACCACCTCCACACAGCATCCTCTGCCTGAACTACTTAGGCCATTGGGGGTTTATTTGGGGGGCAGGGGGGTAACTCACCTGGGACGGCGTACTCGGAGTTGATGGTGCGGGTAGCGGAGTAGGCCACGGCGGGGGTGCGGCTCTGCTTGTCCTTCTGTCGGCGCCGGTAAGCCAGCAGCAGGCACAGGAGCAACACCATCAGGGCCACCAGGCTCACGATGCCAGCCACGGCCCCCCAGGACACCTGCTCCCCTGGGGGGAGGGGCACCATCTCGCTCTCATCCTTCTCTGGGGGGATGGGTTCATGTTATTGCTATGTAGCATTAAACATCCTAATGGACCCATCATGTGACCTGGGGCTCCTGCTGGTGTCTGGATACTCAGTCAGTGATGTCTAACCACACCTGAATCACAAGTGCACCTACCCCCCCCCCCTCCCCAAATATAATCTTATAGCATGTAGCTCCCCAGATCATTAGTAGTTCTCACTGTAAATAGACCTCGATGGAATTCCAGCCCTTACTTCCATGACATGGTGAGGTCACCTAGCACCACAATCCCTATTCCCCACTAACCTGCAAGAATCTGTCTGCAGACTGCAAGACAAGCATGGAGCATGTAGGACAAACTGACCAATCAGAGCACACTGGGCTCATCGGGGGTGGGACTTAAGTTAGAGTGTTTCGGACAAAGTGAATAGAGATTTACAGTATGAGAAAAAGAATGTGTTTTTAGAACACTGAAACATGAAAATCTATTATAGTACTCCCAAAAAATAAAATTGTGAGCATAATAGGACCCCTTTAATAAAAAGTCGTGGCACTTTCATGTCATAGTTAGACTGCCCACCAGGGGGGGGCACCAAGGTCTCTGACACAGTTTGTACACTGCTTGGACCTCTTCTGGACCTTTAAGTGAGAAGGCCATCATTAAAGCACATCATCTGAATGCTGGTGTGATGTGTAGACTGGGGACTCCTCTGTCCCACTACTGGGATTTTCTTTATTTCCAACAGCTGAATGATGAACAGCTTTTCAGGTCCAGACACCATAAACTGTACAGGATGTTCTGGTCACTAACACATCCTTTCTGCAAACTAAGAACAAGCTGCCAGCCACCACAGCACAGCTTGGGTGGTCTGGGAAGGCAGGCGGAGCCCTTACTGGACTGGCAGTGGGGGCCGGTGAGTCCCTGGGGGCAGGTGCATGCTCCAGTCACATGATGACAGGGCCAATCACACTGGCAGTGCTGAGCACAGCCCAGCCCATAGGTGCCTGGTGCACAGCCTGAACAAAATTGGTGGAAAATAAGAAAATAATATTTACGCAAGGCACTGCTAAATAAATGGAGAAAAAATATGTGTGAGAACAGGAGTTTGCATAGAGCATACATGGCCATTTTGCTGTGGGAATGTGTGATGAAAGTTTTGTGGGTAAACGGGCACATGTAGGGCACCTACGCAGCGAGCAGTCAGCCCCGGTCCAGCCCGGGAGGCAGTGGCATGTTCCGTCGTGATGATGGCATGTGGCATTGTTCACACAGCGACACACCCCAGCACACTGCTGGCCATAGGTTCCCATGAGGCATTCTGGGAAATGCAGATGTGCATCATGTGACTAGTAATGGAACCATCCACATTGCCTCACACCAATTCAGGGTCACCCCGCATAGCCAGGGTCAGTGACGTCGCTAACCAATATCAAAGTTCGGATTTGGGGTGGATCCCAGCATTCTTTTTAATTGACTGGTATTGCTTACCACAGCCTGATCTTTTTTTTTTTTTTTACCTATACAGTTTTATCTTTCATTTATTTTTAGCTACACTACTGCACATTGGGTAATTTACTACTCTTACTGGTTTATTGTTTTTTAATGTTTTTTATTGCTTATTGTAATATTTCTACTACTACTTCTACTTACGTTTTTACTTTACTTTGCTTTTTTCTCCCTTAACTGGTTGTTGAGCAACTGCAACAAAATAATTTCCCTCTGGGGATCAATAACATTTTTCTGATTCTGATTCTGATTCTGATTAAATTTCCTGTGTCAATCCAACTCACATCAGTTATGCAGATTATACGGGTCCATCGCACGTTGCAGTAAGCCTAAGGCATAAGGATTGAAACTACACTCTATTAAAATGTAAGCCGTGCGGAAATTCTTTAAATTGGAAACTCAAAGTAGCCCAACAATTAAAGGAAGCTTCATGAACCATTTGCTATCTTTTCTTGACCCCCCTAGATGGTGCTCTTGGCTTGCTTGGTGCATGCTTTGAGCCCTTTTTTGAACAGCATCACCTAGTGGGTTCAGAAAGTACAGCAAGTACTTCAGGAAGCTTCATTTGGCCATCACTACCAACAAATAATGATGGGCAAATGATACTTATGAACCATTTGCTGTATTTTTTGACCTCACTAGATGGCGCTCTTGGCTTGCTTTGGGATATGCTTTGAGCCCTTTTTTGAACGGACAGCACGATCTAGTGGAGTCAAAAAATACATCAAATGGTTCATAAGTATCATTTTGCCCTACCAACAACTACCTGTAATGTTTGCAATGGTATACTTTTGAGAGGAGGCAGCAACAGAACATCAAATAATACAATGAATTGGGCACTTACAGAAACATTATAAGGAAGAATACTGCGATACTGAGTTCAACTCAGGTGAAGAATGCACTGATGTCTACTGTATGGGTATGGAAATTGAAATATTTATTAAATGACTGCATTGGCACTTGAAATTTACATACTGAATAGATCAGATCAGATTGGGGTACCAAAAAAGTGGTTTGGGACATCCCTAGCCAAGACTCCTGATTTAATGACTGACTGTGTCACACAGCACAGGTCTCTGGGACTCACCTTGGTCACACAGGGGCCCAATGTAGCCTGGGTCACACTGGCACTGCCCTGTGACGTGGTGACAGGGGGCGGAGCTGGCACACGGGGGGCAGGACAAGCCGCACTGGGCGCCGTAGTTACCCGCAATACACACTAGTACAGACACAGGTACAGGTCATTCCACACAGAACTATCCAGAAAAATATATGGTTACAAACCTATTACTATTTCAAAGTGATACGTGAGCAGAAAGAGAGTGACAGGAATCTGTTACAGGAAACAAATGGACAGACTAATCAAAGCGCAGCAAAACCAGGAACGTTTCAGCATTGATGGTCGCCACACTCACCATGCTGACACTGAGCTCCCTGGTATCCGGGGCTACAGATGCAGCCCCCACTGTGCGGCAGGCAGGTGGCGCCGTTCAAGCAGAAGCAGGTCTGGTTGCAGTGGCGCCCCCAGGAACCGTCGGGGCACGGCTGGGAGCAACGCGGTCCTGTAAGGAGGGAGGAATATTTTTGTAATATCTGCTATATTCAATATCTGAAGCAGATTTTACTTTCACTTTTACTCAGGCTTCATTTTGCAGTGCTTTTCAACCCAAACCCAATCCTCAGCCACCACCACCCCCATCCCCCCCCGCCCCCAACCAGCTGACATTTTTGGATGCATAGGAGGAGAAATGGAACAAAAACATGGACAGGTTTGGGGGGGTGGGGGCTCATCTGAGAACTGCTGTCTTAACTTGACAGCAAAGCGTCCATCAACCAGGCCCCACATAGAGTTCAAACCTGCAACCTTCTGTTAACCTCCAGACTCACTGTGGGCCCCTGCAGAGGGAGCATCATAATCTGAGAAACTCCAAAGTTTCACATCAGCTTCACTGTATCTGCGGCTCCACAGGTCCACAGTCTGCTGGCGTTCTTCAAACGCAACTCTTTACTGCTCTTCACTGAGGAAGCTGCTTGTGGAAGTTTTACTTATACAGAAATGTTCTGAGGGCAGGATGAAAACTTATTGGTTCAGACAGATAACCAATCAGATTGTAGAGGACGTGAGTCCAAAACATCTGATTGGTTGGTCCTGTCTCATCTAATTGCTTGGATCCACCTCCTTCTCCTTCTCTGAACCAATAATTTTTTTCTGCCCTCAGAACATTTTTGTGTAAGTAAAACTCCCATGAGTGAGGAAGCCATTTGTACCTCAGCTGGTACCAGTCAGGTACTAATTAAACCAGCCCTGGAGAGCCAACAAGGACCCCAGGATTAAGACATTTGCTCTGGATGGCAAACTAGTGAGGCCCCGGGTGTCAAGTGTTACCTGTCCATCCCGGCAGACATCTGCAATGGCCGCCAAATCGGTCACAGCCTTTTGCGTGGACGCAGTCGCACTTTTGCAGACAGCTGGGCCCATACGTGCCATCCTGTACACAACACACGCAAAAGCCGACCCATCAGTTGGCGAGGTCAACCATATGTCACCATGCCATTCAGAGAGCTCACTCACATACCCAGAGCATCTCCCTGAACAGATACGGAGCTGGAGCATGACAGAGGATATACACAGCAGAATACCCTCACTCAAGGGTCAAGAATTTTTATTTGTCGTTGTGTAAGTGCGTCACACAATGAAACGGGTGCCTTTTCAGTATAACTTTCTGATTGAGATTCAGAAGTGGGATGCTAAGGAAAAAAGTAATAATACTAATAATATTGCTGACTTTTTTTGTTGTCTTTCACTTACTGGGCAAACCTGGTCACAGAGCGCCCCCTTCCACCCTGGAGGGCAGGTGCAGGTGCCATCGGCCGGATTGCAGGGCGCACCGTTGGTACAGAGACAGGTCTGATTGCAGCGTAACCCCCACGTCCCATTGAGGCACGGGAGAGAGCAGTCTGATCCCATCCAGCCTGCGGGGAGGCAAGGAATCAGCAGGGCTGGCTGTGGACTGAGCGTGCTCAGATGAGCAGGCTGATGCTCAGTCACAGTGAAGACAGAACATCCTTAAAGCAAAGGTAACTTGGAGTGTGTGTTTAATCGCCGTCCTCTCACCCTCTCTGCAGAGGCAGGTGCCGTCGACATGCGAGCACGCCAGGGCGTTAGCACAGTTGCATGTCAGCGCGCAGTTCTTGCCGTAGGAGCCTCTGTCGCAGTGGCTCTCGCAGTGCTCCCCCTGCAGGTGAATATGACCACAACACAAGCATCACTCAGCTTACAGTGCGGTTCCGCAAAAAAGTCGTTGATAAATGAATGCATGCATGATTAATGTGAAATTATACATACAAAAAGATCGTACTGTACGTACTGTAAATCGATTCTGATACTAGAAATAAGTGTGCAAATGATATATTAAAATTATATAAATGATTAATATAAATGTCATATAAATGAATCAGTTTTATTTTTTGCTTAGCTGATATTTTTCACTCAGTTCAACAGTAGGGTCTAGCTCTGAGACTCGTTCCAGCAAAAATGAGACATGCATGTTGTCCTTCATATGTCTTTATACTACGATGCCTTTCATTCTCTTACCATGTAACCTGGGGCACAGTGGCACTGCCCACTGACTGTGTTGCACATGCCCCCGTTCAAACAGAGGCACGGCTCCCTGCAGGCCAGCCCGTAGTAGCCCTGTGGGCAGGTCTCATTGCAGAAAAGCCCTGCCCACCCGGGCTGACACGTGCACTCGCCCTTCATTGGATGGCAGCTGGCCAATGGAGAAACACGTACCAAGTTTCAGCCTATCAGACCATTAGGTAGCTATTTTGGCATAAGCAAACAGCTGGCCACTAACCTTAGGGTGTGCGTGAGGTTGCAGAGGCAGGGCTGGTCACAGTGCACGCCGTAGACCCCTGGTGGACACATCCTGTCGGCGCACTGTGGCCCCCGGAATCCTGGCTCGCACAAGCAGCCCCCATGAATGTTGTAGCAGCGTGCCCCATTGGTACAGTCGCACACGCCCTTGCAGTCCTGCCCGTAGCTGCCCACTGCGCACTCTTCACTGCACCTGGAGGGGCACAATCACTCACTCCACAAGCAGCCTCTGCAGCAAGTAGCATAATACTAACAAATTGGGAAATACAGAAAGTCGTGGAAATCTGAATATTAATTGCAATATTAAAATTACCCAAGCTGGGTACTTACACTGAACAGCTTTAATAAATAAATCCAGTGAATAAACACACATTTAATAACTGTACATTTGGATCAGCTAAGCAGCTATTAAAATAATAACAGAGGAATAGTACATTTAATAGTAGGGTTGCCGTTTCACTAATGCTCACCCTGACAGGAAAGAGTGAGGCCTACATATAGACGCAGAGGGTCCGCAATAGTAATTCCATGTTTCCATGGGGCCGACTGTCCGAAAGCCTCTGTACCGATACGCATTAAAGAAGCCAACTAATGGGAACGGTGGAGCATGAAGGGCCCTGAGGTCCATCTCTGACGTTTATAAAACACGTGAAATGCTCCTTTACCTCGACCACGGAGTCCATCGCAGGAATCGTAATCCATAAATTATTAATTACACAGATTACCAAGAGAGAGGAACAAAGACAATGGAATAATATTCAAAATTTAAATTATATTTAATCCTGGGTAAAAAACAAAAAAACAAAACAGATATTTTATGTGGTCCACTGATAATTTCAGGTCAAATTATTAAAGTTCCATCAGTTGTAAACAGCAGGGAACAATCTTACGGCTGTAAACACTAAACTCTTCCCTGCTTTGCCAGACGACCTCGGGACGACCTCGGGACGACCTGAAGTGGCCAGTGATGCTGAGACAGATGTTTGTATTTGATACTCATTTCATCCACATTTACGATATTTACTATAAAACTGCATTTTTACCGAGCAAAATAGTTCCAGACAACCATTTTCAGCATGACTCCCCTCTACTGGATGATGACACCAGCATTTAAGCCAGAGATGGAAAATAACAGGAAAACTTCCCATGGAAGGCAGCCTCAGTTCAAACGGTTCCAGGTTTCATGCCAAAACAAGAGTTTTGTACTGTGGCCAGGTGGTTAGCGCTACAGCCTTACCTCTCCTGGACAGTGGGTTCGAGTCCCACCTTGGTGTTTACGGAGTTTAAACGCTTTGCTTATGCAGACTTTCTGCCACAGTTTAAAAACAGCTATATGAACTAATATCAGTTGGTCCATATTTTAGCAGCTAAGAGGGAGCAAAAATGTGCAGCACCAATCAGAGCTTCCCCTGCTGTGTGTCACACACTTCCTGGGACAGATCCTCTGTGAGCTGGTACTCTATTAGAAGTTAAGGAAGATGGATGAATGTGACATCCGCCATGGCTCAGAAGATGAAGAACAATACTGCTAACGCTGAAAATACGGCAGCTAATGCAGCCCAAACCTAGCCGGGTAAGGAATGGGTCACAATAGGAGATCTACTGGCACTGAGGCAGTACAGACCTGTCCCCCGTGAAGCCAGCCGTACAGTGGCAGTGCCCGGTCTCGGGGTGGCACTGACCACCATTGTGGCACACACATTTCTGGGAGCAGCCCATCCCAAACCTGCCCTTGGGACAGCGTTCCGTGCACACTTGCCCCTAGGGGAGGGACAGAGAAGGACTCATAAGAGGCAGAGGTATTTAATGTGAGACAGCAGAATGCTTCAGTCTGTAGGGGGCGATGTGGATTACAGAACAACATCCTGCACTGTAATTGTACCGTGGTGGCAGAATTAACACAGCAACCGGTCGGATGTCTGCTACTGAGAGTGGAGACTTCGAAGTGTCCAAGCAGAATATTAAATATCACAAGTATTAAATACCAGAGCAACATCCAAAAACCATCTATAGAATCCTCTATGGAAAAATAACCCAGAGTAATGCTGTGTTCTGATACTATAAGACTACAGGGACACACATTCATACACCCACAAAACAGCAGATGGATTTAGCAGTCAACAGAGGCCAGGCGTATTTTGACCAGATGGTTTTGAACGTTAAATGTGTTAAACTCTTCAGCCATGATTATTTTTTGAAGAAGAAGCTGTACTTACCGTCCACCCTTTGGGGCATGTACAGACCCCCTCCCCTTGGCAATACCCCCCATTCTGACAGGGGCACCGGAGGCGGCATCGATCTTTACGACAGGCTGTGTCACAGCTGTGGAAGAGAGATACATGGGCTTAATGACCGTTGGCAGCTGATGGTCATCCACATGGATGAGGCAGATGGGCCTAATAATAAATAATAATAATAGGTTACATTTATATAGCGCCTTTCACAATCTCAACTCACAGCATCCCAGTGAAGCCTTCGTTGCACCGGCACTCCCCTGTCTTTTGGTCACAGGTGCCTCCCGTCCCACACCGGCACTGCTCCTGGCAACCTTGGCCGAAGGACCCCCTGGGGCACATCTGTTCACAGTGGGGCCCACGGTACCCCGGGGGACACCGGCAGGAACCTGTCAGGGCATCGCAGAGGCCCCCGTTCTCACACCTGCAGTTCTGCTGGCAGCGAGGACCCCAGTGATTCTCATCACAGGCTGCAGGACAGGAAAAACCCCGGGGACACAGAGTCAGACCTCGGGACTGCAGGACAGGAAAAACCCCGGGGACACAGAGTCAGACCTCAGGACTGCAGGACAGAGAAAACCCCAGGGACACAGAGTCAGACCTTGGGACTGCAGGACAGGGAAACCCCCGGGGACACAGAGTCAGACCTCGGGACTGCAGGACAGAGAAAACCCCAGGGACACAGAGTCAGACCTCGGGACTGCAGGACAGAGAAAACCCCAGGGACACAGAGTCAGACCTTGGGACTGCAGAACAGGGAAAACGCCGGGGACACAGAGACAGGCCTCAGAACCATAGGACAGGGAAAACTCTAAGGACAGAGTCAGGTTCCAGTGGGTGGCTCAGTAGTGGGTTAGGCCTCCATGACTGTGATCGGAAGGTCTGTTGTACAAATGCCATCCTCAGCAGAATAGTCACATACTCGTTGGGCTCTTGAGTAAGGTCCTTCACCCCAACCCCCCCCACCCCAAAATGCTGCCAGGGGTGACAGATAAATGGTCTGACCCTGTACTCATACCCCAAGTTTCACTATCAACTCTGCATGTGTGTGTCAAGGACAGCATGATGGGAAAAGAAGCATTTCAATGTTGCTGTACTTGTACAAATGGCAAATAAAGCATCATTTAATTTCATTAGAGCACCTAAGTCAGGTGCCTCAGCCAACACCTAACAGCAGAAATGGAAATAAAACAACAGTCGAAAAGTATGTGAGAGCCGCTGCTCTCTGCCAGAATGCCTGACGTCCTGCACCTGATCCCGCCCCGCCTTTGCTGGATAGGGTTTCGGAGCGTGACGCCCTCCCCAGGCACAGTGTTTACACAGCATCGCTGACAAATGGGGCCAGAATCTGGAATGTTACACAGGGGGCCAGATTCCAGGCCACGTCAGTCGTCAGCGTGGCGCTCCCCGGGGGAATCTCCGGCACCATGAGAACCGGCGTACATCTTCGGTAACTCTATCCATCCCTGATTCTTAACGCTGACACTGTAAAAGGTCGGCAAATTATATTAAAAAAACCATACAGACTCCAACATATGGAATTCAGTTTGGAGTGCAGAAAAATGCAGACTCACTCCAAACACCGGGCAGGATGAGAAATAGCTCTCCACACCTTCCCACTGCTCGCTGCGCTCCGTCTTGTGCAGTCTTAAAAGATAATACGCGCTGCACCCCCCACGCTGACCTCGTCCTCATCCTGAGCTTCGAGTCCGGGCCCTCACAATCTGAGCCAAGCAACTAATGCACACAGGATCTCTCTATTACGTGGAACCGGACCACCGCACACTCCCACGCAAACGCAAATATCACTGCAAGCTTCGCACCCACTGCAGTGAGCCACTGAGAGAGAAATCACAGATTTTACAGAGAGATCGGACACAAGTCTCATGAAAATAGGGGCCGTTTTCCCACTCCTCGGGGAACATTCCAGAATGTGGGAAAATGGCGGCCCCGGCCCGTCCCTAGGAGACGCTACCACGCTATTGTTCTGACCCTTCCTCCCTGCTCCCACTTTTCTCAGCACGCAGTTAATGTCAGAACGTCCCTGCACAGACAGTATTAACCCCAATCCCCTTTCCGTTCCCCCAGCGATCTCATAGCACAACCATGCAGGAAGGGCTTACTCAGATTCTGCCAGTGAGGTCTAGGGAGGGTTTGCAGTCTAAGTCACGCTGTCAGTATGGGCCGCCTCCCAGGCCGAGAACATTATTTTAACATTTCCTGTTCACAGAATGCCCTCAGAAGCCTGTGCGACCCTGTCAAATGCATTAACCTCTTCAGAAAGCTTGACGCTAACATTTCTATAAGACAGAGAGAGGGCGACAAAAGGAGGAAGGGATGCGTGTCCATAATGAGCATGGTCCAGGAAGCTAAACTGCCCACACTGAGCTTCTGACAAATGAGGTGGCAGCTTTAGACAATTATGACCCATGCCATTGGCCACCGATGGGGTGGAGGACGGCGGTCTCACCGCTGGAGCAGTCGTCCCCCCGCCAGCCAGCCTCACACTGGCAGAGATCGGGCGCCTGGCAGCGGCCGTGGACACACTCCTTCGTACAGCGTGCTGACGGAGAAGGGGACGAAGTTGCAAGTGAATGAACAGGGGCAAACGGGTGGAGAACAAACGACAAACAACACATGGAGTAATTCACATATACGTGACCTACACTGTCGACTGATATTAATTACGGCTAACGCTAAATGCTAAATAATAATGCTAAAGCTAATGGCTACCATCAGGAATCATCCAATCCCCATATATCGCAAAAGCGCCCCCTCCTAGTCACACACTTACAGACACACACATCCTTGCTTTCGTAGTACCCAGGGCAGCACTGGTACCTCCTGCGATAAGCCATCTTCACGGCTTGCCGGTAGGCTGTCCTGTACGTGACGCTAGCCAGGACACAGGAAACAATCCACCAAGACATTATAACATGTACATGTCACAGACAAACATATGCATACACACGCCTCACTCCCACCAGCTCACCACGGACCTAGCTGTCACGGGTAGGAGGCTCCCCCTAGTGGCCTTGTTGATCAACGCTCACCTGTGCTGGGTGCATGTATACAGGCTGAAGGCATCTGCACATGACTCCTTGACCTGGTCAAAAGGGTGGGCGTAGGATTCCTTCACGGAGGTCGTGTAACTGCGAATTCAACGGGCACAGGATACAGCAGTGGGAGCAGACGGAGAAGGACGCATTCACACAGCACAGGATACATTAGTGGGTGGCTGCTGTCAGTGTAACGGAATGCCGATATCACCATCAGCAATGGCATGAATACTATCCTCTGCTAGGGAGCAAGCTGCTGAAAGAACTGGGTTGATATGATGTGTCACATTCCTATGAGGGTATGTAATCCGACATGCTGCAGCTAAAATAATCTGCTGCATAAAAGGGTTTAAGCATAGGAGCGGTAAGACATTTTGAGTCCAGGGTGCTGAATTTGGAATGACCAATAGAATGTATTGAAGTTCTCTTTGATCATCGGTACCTAACAACAGCTAACAATTATAGTCTTTTTGGATACGTAATCATAAAGCCTGAGCCATTGTGAGGTATTTAACATAACGCTATGTATTTCTTTAACGAAAACTACATTACCAACAACAACCAGAGAGGGTGCTGATGCACACTCAGCGCCCTACTTACAGCACTACTGGGTGTAAGTCAGTAAGAAATGGACATACACAGCTAAAGTGTACTGTGCCAACAGAATTGAGTCTTACCTCTCCCATTGGCTGCACACGTTAAGGTCACTGGGGTTCAAAGGCCATGCAAGTTCAAGCAAGGAGCACAAGATCAGCAGGGCTTGCCAGCCCATTGCTAAGGACTTCATCCTAGGAAACATAATGAGAACCAGCGCATGAGAACCAGTACATGAGTTCCAGCACATGAGAACCAGCACATGAGAGCCCAGAAAATCGATCAGCTTGCCTACATGTTATTGGGCTCCTAAGCAACTCAGAAGGGGTGGAGGTCTCTGTGATTGAGCAACTGACCACCACTTAATGAATCATACTCCATTGGGTCTCAGTTTAGCTGTCACTCTATGACAGCCGACAGTTGGGATTACAGTAAAATCCAAGCTAAATTTAAGCACTACTTATGGACAAACGTGTCAGCTAATTATGAACATGGGCAGTGTGTGGCTCAGAGGGACAGAGTGCTGTGCATCTGATTGGAATGTTACCAGTTAAAATTTGCAAAGTTATCAGTTTTACATTAGGCCATGTTAGCTAAAATTTTACGTCTGCCATTTTTTCATTTTACTCCAACAACATAGCATTTGAGTATGACATACTCGTAATTCCGACTTCACAAGGGGAAAGTAGCCCCTTCCGACTAGCACATGAAGGCAGCATTATTCATGTTAGTAAGTGCTAATGTGACTTTGGAGTGCATGGCATAGTTCGCAGTAGTGATGGCCAAAATGACGGCCTTGAACCATTTGCTGTATTTTTTGACCCCACTAGATGGTGCTCTTGGCTTGCTTTGGGGCATGCTTTGAGCTTTTTTGAACAGATAGCACCATGCTGTGTGGTCAAAAAATACAGCAAATAGTTCTTGAAGTGTCTTTTTTGCCATCACTAGTTCGTAGCATGCACAAAGTTGAACTTCCATCTAGATGAAATGAAGTCACATGTTCAAATACCCGTCTTAGGCACTGCTAAGCCCATCTCGCAGCATCCTCCAGGTCATATGTGCAGACACAGCTGCTAAGCTCACATGCATTTCCCATAAGTCCCTTCAATGAGGCCACAAACTATGAGCTTCCAGGGCCATTGTGTCCTGTGATGTTACATCCCAGAACACTTGCAGAATGTTGTTTATCTGCAGCCCCAAGGCATCACCTCCTCTTGCCGTTTTTGTGCCAACACCAACCAACACACAGGGCTCGCTCATCTGGTTCCCATCACCGCGGCGACCGCCTTGGGGCCACATCCAGCAAAAGGGGGGGGGGGGGGCTTCTTATCCCCTCTCCCCAGATGGGACCATGAAAGAAAGTCCTGTTAGTTGGCTGGCCTGCTGGAAATCACTGAGCAGGCCCTGCTGCATTATGGGAAAGGCTGTCTCTCAATAGCTATCCATCCATCATAACCAGTTACCCAGTAAAGCGTTACTGTGAGCTAAGATCCTATCCCAGGAAACAATGGACACAAGGCAGGGGGCACCCTAAGCATGATGCCAGTCTATTTCAGGACACACACTTACAATCACACATTATGGGCAAGGAGACAACAACCCTCCTAACTGCAAATCTTTGGACATGGGGGATTCAGCCGAAACACAGGGAGAATGACGCAGGCAGAGCGGGGGGCAGGGATCAACCCCCAGACCTGGAAGGGTGAAGCCGTGTCTTATAATAAAAACAAAAATACAAATATCTATTACACTCAAAAAAGTTAAATTAATAGAAAAGCAAGAACTGTATTAGTGTTTATGTCCGAATGATTAAATCTGGCTTTAAGACTCAAGTATTTGTAGGTTTTTCACCATCAGACAGTTCCAGCGATTCGGTCAGCACCTGGACACACGTGTCCAAAAACACTGCCAAAATAAGCGAGATCGCAAGATGTCACGTGATGGAAGAGAGTTACAGGTGATTAATGGCGGGTTATACTCGCCAATTTGAGCAGCTCCTGATACTGTGTTACGAGCCGATGGAAGGAAAATAAGTGGGGAATCGCGCACGTTTCGATGCAGCTGACGGGGATAAGGGACGACCTTCTGGTCCGCTTGGCTCGGCGGAGTAAATTACGACAGCTTCGGGAATGCGCTCCACATTCTAGCAGGAGGGCAGCATAGAAAAACAGAGTTTTTATTGGCCGGAGCAAACGGGATTCATTAAGAGGGCCGATTTTATTTACTATGCACTTGATATTTTAATTACTTTTTTCCCCCCATTACTATCATTTTATTAGCAAATGCCTCTGAACCGCATTTGGATTCTTATGCGCCAACAGGAACCGCGTGCAAAACAAACACGGACTATTAAAAAAATGCCAAAGGTCAGATGTGCTGATGGCTGCACATGATACAGAGGTGCATTAGATGCTTAGAAATGTTTACCTCCAGGTGGTAGTTTAATTGCAGTTAAATGCAGCGGACGTCCCAGCATGCTGTTTAAAACAGCAGCATCTCATAAATAACGACTGTTGCACAAGTGCTTGTTTGTCGACAGCACTGTGATTTATTGTTATTTGTTACTGGCTGCTGTCCTTATTGTCCATATACTCTGGTACTTATGTTATTCTTGTATTTACTTATCACTATGGTGTGCAGGAAGCACAAGTACTGGCCATATATGACAAAAACATTGAAACTTTATATTCACTTTATATTCTAGGAAGTAAAACAACGGATATAGAACCGGACAATAAGTGCATGAGATGCATGGAATCAGGATGCCTTCTGGAAATGGTGAAAATGGTGAGCAGAAAGCATCTTCTCCCTGAGAAGATTCACTCTCATTAATCATGCTCCATGCTGGCAGCAATCAGCTCCGACGAGAGGTGGATCTCCATGGTACCAGAGGATTGTCAACAGAACCAGAACTGTTCAGGCCAGCTGCACTACTGGAAGGGAATGAGCCACAATCCGTATAGGCAGCTCTCTGTCCCTCTCATCTGCTCGGATCCTCCGCCAGACCATACGGAGCCCAGTTGTGCACACTGCAATAAATATTAGACACACACACACACACACACACATATATATATATATATATATTGCATTTTTAGGTGAAATGTAAACTTCATAATATGAAGACAGACTAAAATGTTTAAGCTATTACTAAAATAAAACCATCATGAGATGAGATGTAAATATTCGTTCAAACAAGACGTTCACTCCAACCATTGCAAATTAGGAATTAGGAGCATAGGTCAAAGGGTGACTTCGGTTCTGGTTCTAAAATTTTAAGCAATGAATCTTGTTCAGTTTCAGACGAAAGAGGATTCGCCCAATGGACAGGCGTGACTGCAGCAAATGTAATAATGCTGAACCGTGAAAAGGACACCCCCACCCATCCAGCCACTGCTTCAAACTCTTCAGCTATGCCTTTGACCCCCATGACCCATATATGTGGTGCCCAGTTACAGAATCAGACATGTGACCATTGACATCACTTCCTTTGAAGACGAAATTCCTCATTTAAAATCAGAATAAAGAGATATGCTGCTGAAAATGTCTGTCCTGAGACATCCAGGTCTTACCATGGAAAGAGAAACCACTCCCCCCATTTTAGCAAATAAGTTAAATATATGCCTCTGAACACATGGAACTGATCAAACTCTGCTTTTGCTTCTCTACCCTTGACTCCTTTGGTGGGTTGAGCTCTTAATTGAGGGAGAAAATATTACTCACTTTTTGGAAAGGACAGGAGTTCGAAGAAGGGAACATAATGAAAGGGGAAAAGCAGCTGACTGCCGTCGAGTGACAGGATGATAC